GTATTCAATACTTGGACGTTGGATCGAGTACCCGGTTAAGAATCCTCTCTACACTGCACACTAAAGAGTTCTGATTCTAAGGTATTTTTCTGCAGTTAGAGTATCTGCCCTTAGATCTAAATTCTAAAAAATAAAAATTTACAATATATTACTCAATTTGTAAATATTTTTTCTTTTTTTTTTTTGTATTCTTAACATTTTAAAAGGTCAAGATAAATTAACTGAACATGTTATCTACATGTATTTTCTCTATTGAAGTAATTAACAGTGATTTGTATTCACTGATACTGTGTTGTCTTTGAACATTTTTCCCGGGGTTAAATGCCACGCACCATACAGTGTAAATTAGATCAATAAACTCAATATTAACTCCTTTATACAATATATTTTTCTCAATGTCCAAACAAAATTTTTCACTTGTGTAGAGAGGGTCCTTAAGTTGACGTCCCTAGAAAATATATCAAATATATCATAAAGGGCTATTTGAAGTCCTTGATTTCATTTATTGAAAGTCGGATAAATTGTAAAGGAATATTTGCTAAATATAATTATGAGATATTCTTTATTTTTTTTCACTTATTCACTTTGTAGAAAATTCTAACAAGAGACAGTTGTCAGGAGAATGGCGTAGACAATCTCCAGAAAAGAAAACACTACTGATATTAGGATGCATGTACCAATATTTTACGATCCCGAAAGACAAATTTACCACAGGAATAAAAAAAAATATTGTCTGGCGTTCAAGGGTCTGCCATGGTAGGAGCTCTCCTGAAAATATATCCATTTATTGTGGACATCATGACACAGGGCTCACCTTCATCAGCATTAAAGACTTGTGACTTCTTCTACCTGGGCCATACGTGTATTGAATAAAGACATTTTATAGAATCACAAGCACATTGTAAATCTATGTAAGGTCTTCTATGTAAGTTGCATCCTTATTTGATTTGCAACTTAACAAGACTTTGTTTCATTGGTACTATGTCAACTTAATATACAGAAAAAATCAAAAGCAGTTGTGATGTTTATTGTTTTCTTTTACTCATTAGTACTCATTTTTGTGTGAAATTTATTAATTATCCATTTCTTGTTCCCAAAAACCATATCTTACAAATTTTATGTATAATTGCAACTTGCATTTCAATTTTATCTTGTTATACTTTACAAAAATAAATGTTAAAATGATCATATTGCTATTGACTTCACCTATTCTCATCTCTTCGCTTCAAAAGGGAGACATATTGTTAATTCTTGTTCTTTAGATTGAATCCTTAAAAATATTTATTAACACCCCCCCCCCACCCCCCACCCCACTTAAGATAGATATTATACTTCAAATATGTGTCTTTAAAGTTTTGCACATGAGGACTTGCAATCATGCTTCCGCCTATCAGTACTTTCAGTACTTTGATTTTTTTTAAGAGTAACTTACGTGCACCGATGTGTGGGTGGGGAGAGGGGGGATCCCTCCCTCCCATGTTTAGTGACCAAAATATGCATAAAATTAATCAATTGGTTTTACTTTGTAGGACATTGCATTAGTTTCACATAAAGTATAACTGAAATAAGTTGAAACGTTTTATCTAAAAAAAAAACAAAAAACTAAAGCCTGAGAGCTTCCAGGCTTTCACCCCCTGGTCCCCAACTTAGACACCATACCGTCCCTCTATAGCTACTCTTTTCAAGAACCAGTGGGGGACTGATAGAATTTTGTAACAGAATTCTGGACCTGGAATGGTTGAAAAATGACTAGTTCCAGTGACGTTGCATCGTTTTTGAAAGTTGGGGGAGGTTTGTCAGCCAGGAAAAAAATAACGTCCAAACTCAAAAATCCTATTTGGGTGAAAGGGGGGGGGGGGTCCAACTTCGATCAGTCCTGTAAAAAAATCCCTTATACTTCAGCAAAAAGTGGGGCGGAATTTCAAACCCCTTCATGAACATTTTCTATGATAAAGTTATGTCGGAAAAAAAGAGGAAGCCAGACCCCCCCCTTATATAATGTGTCTCTAATTCGTCCTAATTAATCAGAACGCCCCCCCCCCTTCCCCGCCGTGAAAAAACGGTTATCAACTTTGACATAATGTAAATGTATTTTACAGCACGAAATGAACATTTGAATCAACATGATAAAGAGTTAACACAATATAAAGATATTTTTAAATCATATAAGAAAGATTTGACATTATATAAATGGTGCCTGTTTTGGAGGGTAACAGTTGAAATTGACACCCCAAGGAAAACCATTGGTCAACCGACGCGTCGGCGGAGGTTGACAATGGTTTTCCGAAGGGTGTCAATTTCAACTGTTACCCTCCAAAACAGGCACCATTTATTTTATTATACTGAATGTCTTCTTAAATTAAGTAGCAAAAAAAAAATCGTCGATCATCTTTACGTTCACGTTTAGAAAGCTTTCAAACTCCTCGCTACTTCTAAAAAGTTTTACTGACCTTTTTATTGTTTGTTTGATACTCTAAGAGTCTTTTATCATATAAAGTTTCGTTATTTCTGCACTCGCAAGCATGTTTCGTCTGTCGTTTGTTGTTTTCAAGTAAGCTACATCGGACGCAAGCTTTTATTGACGTCAAGTTTATTCCAGTTCTTTCAAACGCGCAACTGACGTTTTGAGAATTCTACGGTGAACCGTACGCGCATAATATCCACGCATGTGGCATTACCGTTGTGTTACCCGTTGTCACATGCGTTGCTAAGGCTGAGGGTAATAGAACGGATTGTAAACTGCGTCTATACCAATCAGATTTTAGTATTTAACATGAAAGTATAATAAAACGTAATTATATATCCACATCACGGAATGGAGTTTTGACATAATGTAATAAAGTGTTGATATAATATGGTCATGGAACGCCGGGACTGTCTCCATAATATATGTTCACATTATGTTATAAACCTTTTTACATCACGTAATAAAGCACTGACATAAAGGTAAGATGTTTTCCCCTAACATTGTGATGACCTCGGCGTAAAAATAAAGATACATTTACATCACGTAATAATGCTTTGTTATTATAGAAATATACACTCACAAAAGGGAATGAACTTTGACTTAATGTAATGATAAATTTAATCATAGAACACATGTAAAACGAAATTAACTTGACGTTATGCAATTTTGACCTCGCATATTAAAGAAATGAAATAATATAAAGATACACTCATTTCACGTAATAAAGTTTTAACACAATGTAAACATATTTTCACTTCACATAATGAACTTTGGACTTCAAGTTATGAAGTGCTGACATAATGGAAGAATGTGTTCACTTCATGTAATGCAGCATTGACATGATGTAAAGATATTTTTACAACACCCCATAAAAAATTGACATAACGTAAAGATATGTTCACATCACGTAATGATAGATTGACATAATGAATGCATAGTTTTATGCTATAAGGCAGTGATGGCGTTCCATATGTTCATCTAAATACACCTGTATTGTAAACTAAACCAAAAAAAAAAAAAAAAAAAAAAATCAGGGAAAAATCTATCGGCAAATTGAATAAACAATAAAGCACATTCCCAAACGTCATATCTTTCAAATATGGTGGATTTATCAATTTATTTACCGGTACTGCTATCTTCAGTGTGCCTCTTAATTTTTTTATTTTTTTTAAAGAAAATCTAATTGACCGTCAAGCTGGCTAAAGAACTAGATTTATCTTTTCTAAACGCTCTCTCAAGAGTATCTTACATGTATGATAAGCAATAGAATACCTGGTCCTGGTATGCAAGTTTTTCCCCTTTTCATTTACTTAAAAAAAGCATTTCTTTTACGCTGCGAATCTCATTTTTGTGCCTGAAATTAGAACCAGGAATCATGCAGGTTAGCTCAACTGAACCATACATAGCAATCTGTTTCCCGTAAAAAAATTGAAAATGCCACTAATCTGTCAAAAACCAATTAAGCGAAACGAAATACAAACTTGATCTGTAACTCATCAAGGTAAAATCACATAACAAAACCTCGCTCAATATCTGCAAGCAATCACAAAAAAGTGCGGAAAACTCTGATAAATTGAAAGGGTCGTAATTCCATCAAAAGTCATTGAAGCGGAACGAAATACAATTTTGATCTGTAACTCATCAAGATACTCTCACATACCAAATATCAGCTTAATATCTACAAGCTTTTAGAAAAAAAAAAAGTGCGGAAAACTACGTGGGGCAGACTGACAGACGGACAGACAGACAGACACAGAGGAAACTTAATATACAAGCAGTCCCCTCCGATTTCACCTGTTGGGGACTAATATTTTGACTTGTCTACGTGTGTAATTGTCAATAAGTATTAAACTAACTATTTCAACCAACAAATCGGACTGTATAAAAAATTGATGAAGAAGAAAAAAAGTTCATAATAGAAATTTGAGCATTCTCATAATTTACAGTTATATGTAAACAATGTAGAAAATTTAAAATACCTTAAAACGTTCAGTTGAATATGAAAAAAAGTTGAACAGATAAAAAGACAATTTGACATTTAGATATATCGACGACGACATTTTGACAATTAGCAATATTTTCATTTTCATTTTCATTCATACTATCATTTATCCCATTGAACTCGAAATAAAGACACCATGGCGATTCAAAATTCATTACTTTGAGGTATTATATACTCAACCTTTTAAATAATAAAGAAGGAAGTAAATTTGCATCATTTCCTCTGTTAGCATGCTACCTTCCATCTTTGACATATCTAGCATGTCAACATACTCTGTCGACAATAAACGTGCAAATATGGGGCAAAAAAATCATATACTACTAATCCAGATCCCAAGGAAAATATCACGATTTCAGTGTTCTTGCATCATGTGATTTTATTTCATAAAACCGAGAGATGTTTTAACTTACTTCTGTTTTATTTATAAAATCTAAGCGCACCTTTAAGAAACCCAGTTTCAGTTTCATAGAAAGAACACTTCAACAAATTGACCAATGAAACAACACAATATAAAGATCTGATAAGTCACACACCTTCTTACATTCTGAAGCTACAATCTGCAAAGATACATCTAAAAGTAAGTTTACCTTTTTTATAGCAAATTATTTAAAGTAGTGAAACACTACATGTAGTTCTGAACAAGAATTATACAGGATCATTTTAATGGAAAAGCACCGTTCTTGCCTCAAAATGTGTAAGGCTACCAAAAACGTCATGTATAACCAATGTTTAATCTCTTATAAAAAAAAAACAAAACGATTAACAATATCTTATTTCTCATCATTATAATCCATACCAATTTTAATTAGCAAATAATATCATTATTTGGATGAGTTGTGATTATCCTGTCTTTAAAGGAAAAATCTAGAGTTGCACGTACGTCAATGGGTCCTTCTCTGCCAAGAGACGAAGACACAAATTTAAAATTATTAAACCTTTTGTATTCAAAAGTTGCTTTAATTTCTTCTTTTATCTTCATCTTTTGTTACTAATGTCGCATTATACCGACATAATTTTAGTGTAATATAGTCCGTAACGGGGATATTTTGATAGAGTTATTCTAAACAGACAAGTGGATTACACTTTCCTTAGCAAAAGTTCTGGTGATTCTGAATATGCAAAATTGGGAGCCTCATATCTCAAGAAAATAGATAAATTTAAATGCAGTTTGTACACAATCGAATCAAGGATTGTCTGTTTTGCAAAAATTAGTCAGATTTAATTGTAAACAGGAAATCGTAGGATATGGTTATGGCACGCCAAATTCACAAAAATGATCTAAACATAGTTTCACAGTCGATAAACTAGGTTTATCGGTTGTAAACTATAGTTAACAACGTTAATCTATATTTTACATCCGTAAACCATAGTGTTTCACAACTGTAAACTATACTTAACACTGAAAACAATCATTTGCGATTGCAAAACATAGATTATCTGATAAATACAGTTTCACGATTTGTAAACTATAGTTTACAAACCGTTAACTATAGTTAACGATCTGATAAATATAGTTTCACGATTTGTGAAACTATGATTAACAACTCTTAACTATATATATTTTACATCCGTTTACGATTGTAAACTATAGTTTACAAACGTGAATCTATGTTTATCAACAAAATCTATCGTTAACGCTTATTATACAGACAGATAAACTTAGATTATCATTCGTAAACTATAGTTTTCAACCTTTAAATATAGTTTTACAGATGAAAACTATACTTAACGAATCGTTAACTATACTTAACGAATCGTTAACTATAGTTTACGGTTTGTAAACTATAGTTTACAGTCGATAAACCTAGTTTATCAAATGTGAAACTAGGTTTATCTCATTTTTGTGAATTTGGCGTGCCATATATGGTTCGCCTATTCGTAGAAAAGGCGCCACGAGTGGATTTTCCAAATCTTTCGATCTATTTTTTTTATCTTTGTTTATTTAACCGACATGTTCTTGTAATGCACGTAATTCGAATGATACCAAAGCTATTTTTTTCAATGCACCTGAACCACGTTATCATGTTATGTACATTAAATTACCTCACATCGTCAAAAAATAGCCAAAACGAAGAAGTACTGTGAGCTAGAGTATTACAGAATTTCATCTGAGTGTTGACTGACTGATGTAAATCAATGTATAAATTAGTTTTACCAAGATTTTTAACTAGCTAGCATACAATTTCTTACATAATATTCATGATTTTAATTTTTCATCAATTTTAGGTTCAAAGCTTCAAGGATGCATATGGCGATCAAACAAATACACAATATACCGCCAAGAACGGCTCTACTGGTAATAATTACCGTCTTTCTATTCGAAGAATCAAGGGCTCTAGAGGGTAAGTTTTAATTAATATCGGAGAAAAGAATGATATACTTAGATACTTTAGGTAAAAGGAAACAGACCATATGAATTTCATGCTTTTTAGCCGTCAGGCTTCCTGACATAGTGTGTATTCAAGTTTGTTCAAGTCATGATCCCCGGGGGTAGGGGCACAATTGATGATCGAAGTTTTACATGGGTTCATATATATATGGGCTATCAAGGTTTTACATGAGTATATATAGGAAAAATCTTTTTCTGAAGAACAGAAAAGACACACACACACACACACACACACCCTCACACACACACACACACACACACACACACACACACACACACACACACACACACACACACACACACACACACACACACACACACACACACACACACACACACACACACACACACACACACACACACACACACACACCCCACACACACATATATATATATATATATATATATATATATATATATATATATATATATATATATATATATATATATATATATATATATATATATATATATATGATCAGATATATTTATATAAAAGCATCTGTATAAATAGTGAAGATTCAAATCTGTTCATGACCCAAGGGGGTAGGTTGTAGCCATTATGGGCGATCAAATTTTTACAGGAGTATAAAAAGAAATAATCCTCAAAATTTTTACAGGGGAATATATGGGAATAATCTTCTCGAAAACAATAAAGCCATTATCTGTCATATTTATTTGGAAGCATCCCCAGATAGTGTAGATTAAATTTTGTTCAAATCATCACACTTGGGTGTAGTGTGGAGCCCGATGGGATTCTAAGTTATATGTAGGATAAAAGAGAAAAAAATCCTTAAAAATATTTTCCCAGGAACACAAAAGCCATATAAAAACATCCTCACAGGTAGTGTTAGGGCCGGTACATGCACACGGTAAGGCTTGCCTTATACAAGTCATGGAATTTAAGTTGTAGCCTTACCGTATATCTAAATACATATTTTTTCGAGCCTTACAAGTCTGACTTAAGAATGCTGCTCTGTTTCTTAATACAAGATTTAGCTGACATTTATTTCTTAACCAATGAAAATTAACCATTCACCCAAAGTTCAAACTATTTTTTTTAAACCATAAATGTTGGTGTATTGAAGGGAAAACAAAGTAATCTGTAGTTCTTACAAATGACAGTATATATGACTTTAACTTCTACTAGTATGTGTAGTACAAATGAACTGTGGATCTATAACGGAATTTATTGTATCAACATGTGTGATAAATTGCAAATACATTTTCATTCATAAAAAATGTTAAATGTTCTATAATGTCATTAAGTATAAAGATTTGTTTTTCAAGTTGAATACTTATAGTTCATTATGTTTTCATTAATTTGTTTCAGGAAATTTCCATGTTAGATACGAATCATGGGTAGAAAAATATAAAACAAGTAATGATCCTCCTCGATACTGCAAAAGCTGTTTAGAGTTGGCTGAGAACAAGGCCAGGTCGTTTTCATATTACAGTCAGATGGAGAGGGATGCGGTCGTTCTTATCAATTTATACACACAGAATATGACTGATGATAAAAAAATTTACAAGCACCTGAATTCTCAATTACGAAGCGGTCATCTTACACAGTTGATGAGAGAATATAAGGAACTTCTAGGAATGTCAATAACAATGCTGTCTTCAAAGTCAAGAAAATGCTTCAATACTGTATTCAGAGGCACCAATTGTCAAACTATAGGTAAAGGGAAACAGGAGCATGTCTTCCCAGAATTCCTTAGTACAAGTACAGATGTTGATATTGCTTTTGATTTCGGGTTCGATGGTTCTGCCTGTAAAGAACTCATTGTTATTAAAAATGTTATGCATAAGCATGGTCTTTTTGTCGAGCCGTATTCTGATTTTCCTGACGAGGGTGAAGTTTTGCTAAAAAGTAGCACTAAGATCAGAATAACAAAATACTATGATGGTAAATCAGACTTTAATGACAAAAGTCGCATTAAAAATGTGACTACGCATTTAGGTTTAAGCAGTGATGTTCAAGTTTATGTTGAAGGATTCGTAGTAGATAATAAAAGAAGGAAAAAAAGAAGCATAGCATGTTTAACAAATTCGTCTGACACACCGCATCCCTACATACAAATGTGCATAATGATGATTGCAATATTAATGAAGTTCAATATCTTTTGATACAGACCCGTAACAACGGTTTTCAAAGAGAAGGGCTTCGAAAAAAGCCGACAATCAAGCCAAAAAAAGGTACACTCTTCAAACAGTAAAAATCTCTATCGGGGGGGGGGGGGGTAAAGAGGGGGAATTAATGGGCATTTTCTCATTTTCCGATACATTGTTTCTTACTATCTTGAGGATCTTATATCAACAAAAAAGTGGAGGGGGGGGGGGCAAGCAGCGGTCAAATCAAAATTAACCTATTAAAACTACAGCAAAGTCTATTCTCAGAAAAAGTGGGCCTGCATGAGGAATCGTCTTGTTATATATATATAATATAACAGTACGACAAACCCAGAAGTATAGCATGCAGCAGTCCAAATTAAGATGACTACGTAGTCTTCGATTCTTGTTGCAAGTTTTTTAAATAATTATAGTCTAGTCCCCTAGCGGTGAAACCAGATGGCCAGGAAATATTACAGTTTCCTATTTGTTTGTCTGTTTGTCCAACTTCGTTTTTCCTTACTTCTTTTACATGCTTACATCAAGCTGATATATTGCTACGTGAATCGATCTTAATGATTTGCATTTCGTTTCCGATTCGATGATTGTTGCTACGTTCCTGTCAAGTATTGCGTATGTAACACTCTCAGGAAGAATGCCTGTTTTTATTTACTTTTAATGCCCTGTAATCAAAGATTCGGGGTATATAGTTTTTGCTCTGTCCGTCTGTCTTTCTGTCGGATTGTCCGCAAAAACTTTAACCTTATCCATATCTTTTGACTAATAAGAGCTATGGCTTTCATATGCCACAAGTGTATTCCATACAAGGCCTTCATTTGGGTACCAGCATATTCAACTTTTTGACCTTGACCTACATTTGAAAAATTCAAACTTTAACCTTGTCCATAACTTTTGAACAGTTGGAGCTTGGGCTTTCATACTTCTGTCATGTTGTAAATTTTGAATTCAAAATTTACAACATGGCACTTCATATGTATTTTTTCTGGCAAGGCCTTTCCAAGGATCTAAATATTATTGACAGTAGAGATTGATCCACTTTGAAAAAAACTTACGCTTGGCCATAACTTTTGAACAGGTAGTACTATAGGGGCCTTCATATTTCATAGATGTACATGCATGTATTTCTTGTGACAAGACCTTTGTTTGAATACCAACAATTTTGTTCTTGACTTATGGAGTTTGACACACTTTTGAAAAAAACTTAACCTTGGCCATAACTTTTGACAATTGGTGTTAGAACCTTCATATTTCACATGCATATTTCTAATGACATTACTTTTACATTTTGACGTTGAAGTTTGACCCACATTTTAAAAAGATTAATCTTGGTCATAATTAACTTTTGAACAGATCACAGCTAGCGCCTTGTGTAGATACCTCGGAGAAAATTCTCCGAGGTACTTATTTTCTAACTGATTTATTTTCTCTACACAAACCCCTGTAAACAGATGGTGCTTTGGCTTTCATATTTCACAAGTATAATTGCTGAGACAAGTCCTTTCATTGGGTAACAATATTTCTCTTCTCTTGACCTTGTAGTTTGACTTGTATTTGAGAAACTTGCACCTTTGCCAAAAGCTGCTATATGGGGGCATCTGTGTTTCATAAACACATCTTGTTCAATTAAACAATCAGTTATCTTAATTGCAAACAAAATTTGATTCAAGTTCTAATCAACCTTTGTTCAAAGTGTGACTATACGAATTGTATAAAGACATTCCTCAATGTATTTCACTAACTTTGTTCTGATACTTTTTATATGTATTTTCGTTTAATACGGCTGTGTATATATGCAAGCTTTGACTGAAATCAATCCCGTCTGCTTTAATTTGAATCATTCGCCAACCTTTATAATGATAGAAATACATGTCGTAATTATTTTGAAGTCAATGATTAAAATGATTTAAAACTATATGATACTTTTAATCATATGTTCTACGGTGAAATACTGTTACTCATCGTTAATAAAATATTGATGTTCACGGTTATTAGTTTTACTTATTTGACAGAAAAATGGAACATACTTCAGTGGCAAAAACCTCCTTTTCGCTGATAAAGGACAGCTTTTTTTAAATAGAAGACTCCTTATGGTTATAGCAAGTGTACACCTGACTAAACTAGAGGTACTGTGAGCAATGAGCTCACTAAATGATACCCCGCCTCCCATATGTATAAAATGGCAGTGTCCATATTTTGCTATGGGAAACCCAAAATTTGTGTCAGATTAAAAAGTAAAATACAATGTAGTAGGTGCACAGTGGCAATATGTAATAAAGATTCTGTGAAAGTTTCATTCAGTGGTATGAGAGGTTGCGGATAAGAGATGGGTACCCCAAGACGTACCCTTCAAACTTCAGAGGCGTAACAGACGGATGGACAGACATCCCAATTACTAGTACTATATACCCTCCCGCTTTTCAAGGAGGGGGTATTATAATGCATATTCACTTTATAATCCATATAGCCCCACTCAAGCGCTAGAACGCCACCATGACCCTGCATGGGTCCATGAATTTCATAATTTTGGTAGAGGACTCAATGGTTATTAGAATCATGCCAACAGTTCGACTGCTTGTTGACCAGGAGTAAAGATTTTTTTTTATTTTGGTGGTTTTAGTCCAACCCGCAAGCCTCGTGGAGGACCAACAATTTTTACAACATTTGCCCTTCACCTATGGATGCTTTTTGCCAAAATTGGTTGAGCAGTTGCAGAGAAGAAACTTAAATTGTTCAAATGTTAACACATATCCCTTGAGGATGGACGAAAATGGACGCAATGGGTCACCTGGGTTTATACTCCGAATTGGATGCATTTTCAGATCTGATAATGTGATTTTTGGCATTTTACGTAAGAGGCCCATGGGTTACAATGCACAATCCCGTTCCATAAATTGTTATTTCCCCTGCTTGAAAAGTGGAAGGGTATGAAGTGATCGGAATGTCTGCATGTCCGTCCCTCCGTCAGTTCTGCTTTGGGTTACCCATCTCTTATCCGTAACTCCTCCTATACCACTGATTGAAAATTAATGAGACTTTCAAAGAGCCTTTGTTACATAATGCCATTAAGCACCTCCTATTTTACTTTTTGATCGAACACACATTTCGGATTTTCCATAGCAAAATATGAAAACTGTCATTCTCTCTAAAATATTAAAGGGTACCCATCTCTTATCCACAATTTCTCCTATACTACTGAATAAAATTTAATTATACTTTCACAGATTCTTTATTACATAAGGCCATTGTGCACTCCTTATTTTATTTTTTGATCTGAAACTTATTTTGGGTCTCCCAGAGCAAAACATACTATAGTAGACTTTGCCATTATACTTACATGGGAAGCAGGGGGATCTTTTAGTGAGCTCAGTGCTCACAGTATGGTCGGACAGACATACAGACAGCTAGACGGACATACAGATATCTCGATCACTATATATATACTCCCATTTTTTAGGCAGGGGGCATAAATACCCTCCCACTTTTCAAGCGGGGATATAAATACCCTCCCAGTTTTCAATCGCGGGTATAAAGACCCTCCCACTTTTCAATTGGAGGTATAAATACCCTCCCACTTTTCAATCGCGGGTATAATTAAATGGTCAGAACTTTCAGAAGTGGTGCATCAACCTCTGTCACCTCTGGAGACATAATACCAAGAATTAATTAACATCGACAAGTCTATAAATCAAGAACGTCCATGAAATAGCTCTCCGATTTTATTCTATACAATGTCATCCAAATAATTCATCATAATGTTTTCAAATTATGTCAGTCTAAAACATTAAAAAATACCTGGATTCTTATTCAACCCTTGTTCTGAAAAAAAAACTTTTTCCTTTTCAACATCAAATGGATACCTTTTAGCACTAAGAATACTTTCAATATTCTTCTTTTGAGAACATTAAATTTCCCTACTTCTACACAATTTATTTAGGAAAATTTCAGTTAGGAGAGGCACAATGCTTTGACAACATTATCAAATATTTCTTGACAAGCAAGGTTAAGTAGCTATATTTTCTCACTCTCTACCATCGGCTCATACATTCACCTCCGACGTTAGCTCGCGTATACACAGTGTTAAACACGAGAAATAGTGCATTTGTTTTAATTCAGTATAATTCAATTTCTACGATTATGTCTGAGTTTTGAGATAAATATTTACTAAATCAATACAAAACTATTAATTTAAATTGAAACAATCCTTCAAATATCATGTTTTATACGTTATGTCAAAAATCTTGACGTGAGCCCATTGCAGAGGTGTCTGAGAGAGGAACGAACGACAACTCTGCATGAGAGATTGATATTTTCTATAGTATACCGAGTACTTAAATAAAGCAAAATTACTTCCCACCCCATCCCCAACCCCTTCGGGTTCCTTGGACCATGTGATTTATTTAACAGTTAAAAAATCAATTAAAACTTTGAATGAATGTAGGTCATTCATACATTGTACCAATTAGTTGAAAGTTATAAACTTTTCATTACATGACAGTGCTAAATACAGCAAAAAAATGAGGATTTTGTAGGTCACCTAATTCCATGAATTAAAACCCCCCAAACAATAATTTAGTCAATAAATTTATTCATTGAATCATCTAAATATACAAGTTACATATGAAATTATATTCCCATGAACAAAATAATGTTGGTTACCCATGAACAATGACCTTCACTTATTAAACTGATTCCACAGCATAAAACCGAGATTTCTCACTAGTCCAAACATTTAAGTAAAATGTAGGTCAGTTTTGTAATATGTTTTGTTTTTCTGCTTTCTAGCTGATGGAAAATGTGACTAAAATATGAAAATTCAATACCCCCGTAATTTTAGAAAGAGCTCTGTGATTTTCAAATGACATTGAAGTACCCCTGCATATGCATGCCAACCACTTTGTAAAAAAGCAATATTCAGTTTGAATCAGGCATAAAATACATTTTAGTCTCTAATTTTTTCTGCGTTATTGAAAAAGATTAGGAAAAAACTACTAAACTTTACATGTTTGGTTCAAGAAAAAAGTAATCAGGACTTTGAGAGGAAGTGCAAACTTTCATATGTACAATACTTTCTTTACAACAGTAATTACAAATAATGATTCAATTTCTAGTGATTCTACAAAACTCAATGAAAAGGAAGTTCAATTCATCAATACATGTAAAATAACCTGAATTTAGAATATACATCTAAGTCAATATTGCATACATATCAAATATGTCATAAAATAAATGAATTTTTTTAAAACAGATGAATATCATGCCATGAATAAAGGTAAAAAAAAAAATTGAACAAAAATTGAATTATTTTGAAACTAAACGGAATGAACTGTTGAACAGTGTAACCAATAAATTAATGTCCTAGAGCTACAGGTCTGTCAGTGCCTCTTCATTCTGCGCTCCATCTTTTTCTGTTTTTTCTCATCTACTTCTGGAGCTGGAGCAAATATCCAGGGGGCCAGAATGTTGACCCATAGCATATAAAAGGCCCGGATTGGAGCCTGCAAAGAATCACATGACCAACAACTAAGATTTTATACAAACAATATACACAAAATGAGGTACTGGTTAACTGAAAGGATGTAGCGATATATAAATTAAAGCAGACTCATGAAATGCTATTTCCCAGAAACTTAATAAAACTGATATTATCTTAGGCATTCTTAGCTATCAGTATCTGCAGACATGTTCCAAAATCCTTCTTTCATTCGATTTTTATCTATGACTGACATTTATTCATTTCATTATTTTAAGGCATTATTTGGGCATATGACCTCTAAAATAGTGGCCAAAGGGAACTAACTCTTGCAAAATTGCTTCTAATGAGAACAATCAACATGTGATCAAAGCGAAAATGATATCCCTTAGCAATTATTTCTTACTATGAAATGCTCTGAAAACATAATAAGTGAAAATATAAGTACAGTGTACATGTTTTGACACTTTAGTATCTACCAGTCCTGTCCAATAACAATTTCACTAAATATGCAATGACTGACCAGGAAAACCTCAAAATAAGCTTTAAAGAGCCCAGCATCAGCTCATCAGACCAATAATTTACTTCAAAATATAAGGGAAATTCAATGTACGTGATTTCAGTTTAACAATTTTTTATTGCAAATAAAATGAAAAACAGGGACAGGGCTGTAGTTTTATATCAATAGAAGTGATCTCAGTATAAGCGGGGTAAGCTATAGTATTCTATTTCAGATTTAATACATTTCATAAACACTTAACTTTATACAATAATAATATTGGGAAGATACATTCAAATTGATTCACTGGTTATTAACCATTAAAATGCCCCCCCCCCCCCCTTTTACTGTAGATTCCTTATTTTTTGCAAGTACTTATTATCGCGAAAGTTCTCTTTAGCATCATATTGCGAGAATAATATTTCATGAATGGACCCTTGATCAAGAGATTTTACATGGATTTCAGCATAAAAAAAATTAAAACAAGAATGTTTTTTCTCGAGTTGTGCTTCCCGCGAAATTATGCATTAATTAATTCCATGTGAATATTTAGGAATCTACAAAATTATAAACATATATTACAACATTGTATCAAGTGAGTTTACATCATTTCTGACATTTTCCAGTTATTTTTTTATGCTGAATTGCTTTATGAAAAAAAATTTTCAAATTTGTCTTGAAGTTTGTTTAATAGCCTTTTCTTTCACATCCAAATCCTGTTAACATTGGCATATACAGGTATATGAAAATGCTGAACATGCTGAACTGTACAGAACTAGAAACACAATCAAACAAGAGAAATAATGAAATATCTGTTTTCTGCTTGTCTCTCCCAAGAAACTGAAAATAGTTACCTCAAGAAATTTTAGCTATAAATCTTTAACATTTAGACTTCAATTTAAACAGTTTTTTGGACATAAAAGTCTGAAAGTAATTAAATGTACATGTATTTCTAATAATCCACTGCCTAGTATGGGATGTTTTTAAAATATCATGTACATGTATTATGATTATAATCCATTTAGACTAATTTTGTATATTACATATGTTACTTACCAGCAGCCACAATATCCAGAAGAAATTTGACAACAAGCTGAGACACATTACAATGCTGGTAAGCAGGAGTAAATCTTTAGCATGCCTAAAACAAATAATGTAGTTAAAGAACAACATGTAGACTCAGGAAAATTAATAACAGAGGAAAAAGAATCAGCTCTACCATATGCAAAGGTAGTCAAGTAGATAAAAATCTCAAAACTAGTTTAAAAGTATTCATTTTTGGGGGGGGGGGGGGGGGTTAAGGAATTAATTAAGTAAATTAAGTTATACTAAGGAAATTAACAGTCATAAACAGAGAAAATTAGAGAATGTAAGCACTGAATTCTTATTTTTGGATGCTTTCGGTCCTATAACACCACCTGTCGTTGCCGACAAATCATACTACAGAGCGGTATTCAATTTGTTGGTACAGCCAAGTGCTGTTAAAGGACCAACAACATCCAAAAAATACAAAAAATGCTAAAAAGAAAACAATTTGCTTTATAACAGGGCTATTTACTTAATATCCATGTATTAAGCTTAAATATCTTGAATCTTTAGAATGATTTTTCCATCTCACTGATATTGAGATGTCCAGATGTCTATTTTAAATTGGATTATAAATGTATTTTTGGAGTTATACAAAATAATTTAAATTTACTGAGCAGACTACTATTTGTCATCCTTCATATACTCATCTGTAAGCTTTGTTTTGTTTTCACAACTTACTCTGCCATCCCAGACTCCATGTTTAAGTCGATGCCACTGTCTAGCAAGGCCCCATCTGTGGAGTATTTGGCTCGGCCCATACTGGCCATGAATTGGTAGCTACCCAGGCACACAGCCACCGCTGACAACCATAAGAACTGTATAGAGTTCAATGAAAAGTTTGAAATATATAATCAATGCAAGATTCATGGATCCATCCTCTGACTTAGGCATAAAATTTTGACAATTTATTACCAATGTATTATTTATACACCAGCTACTAATTAAAAGTAAGTTGACAGTTTCAGTTGATATTAATAAGGCACTACATGTACTATCAGATTTATAAACTTTCTACTCAAGAAAATTGTTCAGGGGTTACTCAAAGTAAAGGGGAGTGCATATAATGTGCTTTATAAAGAGAAAGTTTGAACTGAGTTAGACAATCTTAGGTAGCTAAGGGTTTTTCGCGATTCGGCCACTCTGACCCCCAATAAATGACTGCCTTTCTAACATTAAAATACTCCAATTTCAGAGTAAATCTGATTGGAACTTTACATAAATATAAGATATTTTGTTCAAATTTAACAAATTCTCTGATGACTCAATATCTTTTAATCAATAATACGGTATATATAAACGTTCGAAGTGGCTGATCTCAAGTGTTTTTGAAGGTACAACTGCGCTCGCCCCAACGGTCACACCGTAAAACATATTACAGTATATATAAACTTAAGAAAGCTTCTTTACTTACCACATAAAATGCTGTGAAAAATTCCCAGAAGAGAAAGTACTGTACCAGAAAAAATGCAACCTAAAAGAAATTATGCATCATTTAACTTTTTGATTAAGGTATTCCAACTCATTTTTTATTGTCCATCTTATAAACAAATTTAGTTCATGGATTACAGTATATGACAAAGAGGAGTTTCAAAAAAATACAAATACATGTGCTGTACTTGCAGCTGTAGCGTATATTCAATTATTCATATCTCTAGGAATATTATCAATTGAAATATTTTATGCATAAAATTATTTGAATTAGTCATTGAAAATTGGAAAAATCATTTTCAAATTTTATATATATGTACATATTTTTAAGACTGGAGAAATGCTTGTTTAAAGATACTTACATTAACTCCTCCAATAACATACTGATAAAACTGTAGTGTTGCTTTGTTCTCCTCTACAATCTGTTTAGCACCTTTAGTGCCCTGCTTTCCTTTTGGCTTCATAGGAGTAAAAAATGAATTACACGTAAATCAATGTTACTGGAGAACAGCACACAGCTAAGACGAATTTGAAAAAAAAAATAAAATATGTGTGCTGTAGTGTATATTCAATTATTCATGTCTCTAAGGACATTATCAATTTCAATATTTTGCCATGATAAAATTATTCGAATGAATTAGAATGTAGGATAAGCCACTGAAAATTGGAAAGGCAACTTAGCAGTGATAAAATTATCACCATGAGATTTTTTCATTTACCTTTAAAAAAGTCACAAGCAAAACTGAACTTTAAAAGGAAACGTTTGACGCGTGCAATTTATCACAATCATTGCCATATGTTTGTACATGACTGTGCTGATTTAACCAAAATTTCCGTGCAAACCTAAATATCCCCTTAATTATTCTTGCATCTGCTGCATGAACACAAACTTACCGGCATGGTACCTCAAATTTATGACACAAAACTATCAGGTTATTTGTGGTGTCAACAAAACTATACCATTCCGATGTTTTCTACTGAAAGTGAAACCACCGTGGAAATTGATCAATGTTTAAACGGAAATCGATGGTTTTATTTTCAGATACGTGGCTTAAAACGTTTGTTTGACTTAGATTATGAAACATATAGTTAGAACATTGTAAAATGGCTATTTTATTTCCGGTTTATACAGGTTAGTTTTTCAAAATTCAATGGTCTATAAGCAGCAACTAAACCAAAAAAAAAATGTTTTCGATTTTTTTTAGGGTTAAGAAATAATTGTATTTTAGAATGTTACATTGAAGTGATTATTTCTGGAATTGTACGTTTGGTTTTTATATTTTTATGAAATCTTTTAATTTTGATTGAATTTTTAATAATCAACTCGTATTTTCTTTATTTCACTACTTTCGTTGATCGACGTTTTATATTTTTCATTTTAAGCTTTACCTTTTTATTATGTCTCCCTTTGTTGAATAATTAAATATATTAGAGTAAATTAGCTGCTGATGGGGCTAGCACTGTTTTATCAGTGAGTTTGATCGATCAGCCATAAATGCTGGAGAGACGTCAAACGTAGTCCACAAAAATGGTAAGCTGTCTTCTCATATTTTCATTTTTTTTAATACACAAAAATATAAATACAGACTGGTGGATAAAAAGTTTAAAGTCTAATTTTTTGACTTGAAGAATTATGTACATTTATTAGTTTCAATTATCATTGTATTTTATTGTGTATTATTTATTTGTTTTAATTATAGCTAAATATCACTGTTCTACTTTTTCATGCAGTATTTCTTCATACTTTTTTCCAGCTGTTTAATACCACTGTATCATTTTGTTGCTATTTTAAAAAAAAATGATAAAATATTTTTGAACATTTTTTTCAATAAATAATTATTCTACAAACTCAGAGGTATATTATAGGAAGATTTAACATTTGGTAAGCAATTATTTGTTCTTATCATTAATACGATATCATTTTAAAACGTTTAAAGCAGAAACCTTTTTGCTGAAAATAATCTTTTTATTCGCCTGATTTTGTTTGACGTTTCTCTATTGACACAGGCCTGTTATTGTGTCAACAGCAACCATGCAATTCGTTTGTTATAAAATGTATTTTCACGACATACGAGTGTAAAATATAAGATAAGAAACCAGTAAGTCGTAAGAAAATGTTTACAATCCTTTAATTCCTTCTATAAAGTACCATCTGTTTCTGGCTTAACATATGTTTAAATATTTTTTTTTAATTCTTAATGATTTTTCGGTGGGAAATTGTGAATCTAACGTGACTACAAATAATGAATAATTGTACAAATATAGGAAATAACCGTTAAAAACAGACAGACAATATATTGCGATGATTGATTGATTATATTTTGTTTAACGCCAATTTCGAGACTTTTTCACTCATATGGAGACGCCACCACTTGCCGGTGGAAAGCTGCAAATTTTATCCTATACTCGGCACTTAGGGCCATTGAGCAGTGAGAGATCTTTTTTTTGTACCAGCATCTAGTGCGACACGGGACCTCTGTTAATAACTAAAAAATACGGTCTCATTCGAATGAACAGTCTCCAAGTCATATTGGGATTTGAACATACGTCGTAAGGATCAACTCCTTATACCTCACGACTCTTAGAGCAGACGCTCTAACCACTGCGTCACGCGGTATATTGCAATGATGTAATTTGAAACCAAAAATCCATCTATGATTGAACAGCAAAACCGATAGAAAATCGAAATGTCCGATGAAATTCGCTACAGTATCGTTCCTGTGTTTGATTTCGATTGTGGTGAGGGCTTGTCACTGATTAATTTATTGTACTCTAATCTATTGCAATATCTTCATAAATGAAAAATTTCAATGAGCAAGCTCCTATTCTTCTGTAAATATCCATTATCTTATCCATCTTGCAGTTCTACTTGACTTATTTCTTCCAAAAACGATCGTTTTTTCCTAATCCGACATTTCCTCCATTCCTCTGTTATTGGTAAACACATGCAGTATATAGGTCATGAGGTGCAATGCCCACTGAGAAAACGTAAAGATAATTTTTTAAAATTTACTTTTATTTTGAATTTCTACTGCTATTTATATATAATTCAAATTTACAAGTGAGAATTAAACTTTAAATTTTAAAAAGAATTGAAACCTTGAGAAGTTTTCATTTTCAAGAATCAACTTTTTTGTAATTTTTTTCTTTTCAGAAAAAAATATTTACTTGGGGCTAAAACTTTATTGCTGCCACAAGCCTGTGTGACCTGGTGCCATATTTGAATTAATTATAGTTGCATATATATATATATATCACAATTATGTTTGTGAGCCACAATTTTTTTTACTTATTCAATGCCATTATCTTTGAATTACATCTGACATGAGAAATACACTGTATACTTTAAAATTTATTCACTGTATAGAATATGTTTTTTTACTGATAGAACACATCAAAAATGCTTGTTTATTACTTTTTTATGTCCAAAAAATTTGGTTTTCGGAAACTCTGCAATGATGTAATTTGAAACCAAAAATCCATCTATGATTGAACAGCAAAATAGATGACTCACTAATTAACTTAAAAAGAAGGGAGAAAATACACTTCGTTCCTGTCACAGGGGCATCTTATCCACTCTGTTCTCTACTTCACATATAAAAATACACAAGGGTCAGAATTACTGCCAAGTGCCACACATATTTAAAAAAATTTTAAAAACAACTTATTTAGTAAATTTAAAAATCCTGAAAGGAACTAGCGCAAATAATGTCCTAGTATTTTTTAAAATATTCCAGATATATCCATCGTAAAAAAAAAAAATCCAACTAAAACCCCAGCTTTCTGAGCAATGTGGAAAAAGCACACATCAGAGAAAAAGATTTAACTCACCCGGATGGGTAGTACCCCCTTCCGAGTGCCATTGGAAGACTTCGGGCACTACCCTATTGTCACTACCGGATGAGTTCCCTATAAATATCACTAAGCATGGCTTTAAAGTACTAGTGCAGAAGATTTTTTAAGGTTGGATAAAAGCTATTTAAAATATATCTGGAATATTTTAGCCTGGATTGTACTGGGACATGATTTGCAAATTTGAATTACACTTTGTGTAACTTTTCTCCATAAGTTGTTTTTTTCCTGTCTTTTTTTGAAAAAGATTTTTCCTATATATTCCCTTGTGTATTTTTATATGTGAAGTAGAGAACAGAGTGGATAAGATGCCCCTGTGGTTCCTGTGTTTGCCTTTCATTATTGGAGACCAAGGATGTTTCACACAGCGTTAGTTTTTCCCCATCTTTCCTAATGATGCGCTGTCAGTACTCTAGCTCGGACAATGGAGGACTCTAACAATATCTATCAGTAATGATCAGAGCTGACTGGAATTGTCACTGGAAGTGAACCTAATTATCCGCATATCGCACTCAATCGCGAGGTGATTTCCGATTACACCGCGTGGAATTGAAAGCTAAACTAGATAAGAATTTTCTGTCCTTAAAACGATATCGTTCTAGGGCCCCGGGGAAGACATGTTCCAAGACATGCATAAACAAGAAGATTGGGACGAGTCTTCATGTAGCTCTACTAGTTTTGATAGCAATTATAGAAGTTACATTTGAACCTGTTTAATATTAAGTTGAAAAAATGTACATTCAAAGAATATTATTAGGGGCTGGTTTTTTTTTTTTATTTGAGAGAAAAAATGAAAATTTATTGTAAAACAGTTTATTTCATACCACAAATGAATATCATATCGCAAATATATTCTTTAATATAAATAAATATATATATATATTTAATTATTTTGCAATATACATGTCACTCTCTACCATCGGCTCATACACTCTCTACCATCGGCTCATACATTCAGAGAGAGGAACGAACGACAACTCTGCATGGGAGAATGTATACATGTATCAGAATATTTGATTTTTTTTTAATCTGAGAAAGAATTTCTGACATCAAAAATGCTTGTTTATTACTTTTTTTATGTCCAAAAATCGATTTTTTTTTTATACATGTACATGTATTTCATTACTAGAACTCAATTTATTAAATGTTCTCTGCGATTTTTCAACGAGCACATATAGCATTTTTTGTGTGTGTGTTTTGTTTTGTTGTTTATGGAATGCCATATACGACAGCCAACTGCTTACTGCCAACTGCTGACTGCTTACTGCCAACTGTCAGCTGCTTACTGCCAACTGCCACACATATTTGAATAAATTTTATTTATGTAAATAAAAAAGGTGAAGATCTATAGGACATTTTTTTCCAAGAGGGTAACTCTGGTAAAAAAAATCCAACCCAGAAATTTCTTGACAAGAAAAAAATACGTAAAGTCCTTTCCTAAATTTGAAAAATTTATTTCGGCCGGGGAGAGGGGATTCTTATGCGTCATACCTTCATGTGTATGACATTTTTCATACCAACTGTACACGAATCCACATTTTCGGTTGGGGAGGGGGGGGGGGGGTTTCTAAGGTCCCTTTTAGCTGATTTATTTTATACATTAAATAACTTTTAGTTGGTTTAGTTTGTGCATTAAATAACTTTACATATTTCAGAGGGGTGTTCCGGACCTCTCTCTCTAGATCTATGCATGTAAAACATATTTTATTTGTACAAACAAAGAGATATAAATGTTTGATCGGCGTTTTCTAAGATGCATGTGAAACATTACAGGGACGTAGCAACATTGGGCCCCCCACTTTTTTTCCGAACATTACCTTCACTGTTGAAAATGTATATTGAAAGGATGGTTGCCCCCCTCCCCCGACTTCTTACCATAGTATAATGATATCAAGGATATGTATTATTGTGTGGAAAAAAAATGTAAGTGAAAGGTAGTTGGCCTTATAAAAAAAGGTAGCCACTTACCCCCCCCCTTCCCCCACGAAATAGGATTTTCGAGTTTGGGCTATTTCCTTTTTTTTTTTTGCTTGTCAACTTTTTCAGGTAAGTAAAAAAAAATTCTCTGGTTGCCCCCCCCCCTTCTTTCAAAAACGATGCTACGTGCCTGCATTATAACATACAGATATATACATCTTTAATTTGAGGAAATTTTTAACTATAGAATATAATGGAAAACGGAAATTTATTTTCAAAACATCTTTCTCTGCGAAACGACAAATCTTTTTTATTATTATTCTCTCTTCAAGGGTGACCCACTTGAAAAAAATGTCCTGGATCCGTGCCTTTTTTCCCTTTTTTGTGAAAATTCATATAAATATCAATACAAATATAAAATTTATTCAAATATGTGTGGCAGTTGGCAGTAAGCAGCTGACAGTTGGCAGTAAGCAGTCAGCAGTTGGCTGTCGTATATGGCATTCCTTATGGGTTTTTTTTTGTTTTTTTGTTTTGTTTTTTTTTTTGCACAGAAATAAAAATCTGACAAGCAAAAAAAAAAAATCCAATTCAAAGGTAAAAGGTCATGTTTTCGGGAAAAAAAGTTGGGAACAAGCACCACCCCACACTCGCCACGATACCACTTGCCTGTTACACTTATATTGAAGAATTGAAATGCTGTGCCGAGTACGTAACTGACTAATTATTTATTATAACTTTTCATAACTTGCATGTTAATAATTCTCAATTGATTTTCTAACTGTAGATAATTTTTCTGGTGTTGACGATTCTTCCCGGAAGCTGGTGTTTGGTTGGTCTGATCGGTTTACGTCGTACTTCCGGAGTACATCACATCCCACCTCCCCAAACAGAACATCTAGGCAAAGTCGTACAATCGTAATTAAACAGCTGTATGCCCCCGTAATCGAAGATTCGGGGGGTAAATAGGTTTTGCACTGTCCGTCCGTCTGTCTGTCTAGCTGGTCTTACCAGAGATACACTGTGTGTCTTTCTGTGCGTTTATCTGTTTGTCTGCAGCTTTTGAATAGTTAGTGCTAAGGTTTTCATACTTCATCTGTGTATTTACTGTGACAAAACCTTTCATTGTGTATAACAATATTTGACTTTATGACCTTGGCCTTAGAGTTTGGCCCACTTTCAAAAAAACTTTAACCTTGACCAGAACTTATGAACTGTTATAGTACTAGGGCTCCCATATTTCACAGATTTACCTATTCCTTGTGATAAGACCTTCCTATGGATACCAGCAATTTTGACGTTTCGACCTTGACCCTAGAGTTTGACTAATTAAAAAAAAAAACTTTAACCGTAAATTTGGAACCAGAAGTACTAGGGCTTTCATAATTCACTGGTGCACTCTATGAGAAAAGACCTTAAATTCCATTGGGTACCAAGAATTCTGGCCTTTTTACCTTGGAGTTGGACTTGCATTTGAGAAATTTCAACCCTCGCCATAAGCGGCCATACGGGGGCATCGGAGTTTCACAAACTCATCTTGATTTTGGGGGTTTTTACGAAAATACCTTCGTATCTGACTTGGGTTCGCTTGTCATCTTGACATGATGGCTTTTTGTTGATGTACAGCATCTTTATGTCACAAATATCAGTATATAAGATATACATTTTTCTGCATTTTTCATATGTTGCGATTTTTTTTCTTCATGAAAACCAGATTGATACAATCAGTGTTATTATCGATAGCCATTAGACACCTCCATAGCGTGATTATTGTTTTATAGTTTAGAGACAATTACGTTTCTGTAAATCCACAACAAAAGCTTCAGAGAGAAATCTGTCATGTGAACGACCATTGATTATCCCCCTATAGAGCGTAGCTACCTTTAAAGAATATTTAGAAGCCTTTGACAGGAACTCGTGTAAAGTCTTCACACGGCGACATTTAGTCCATATAAATCTCAAAGATGGTATAGAGAATTTACTTCATATCCGGTTGTAGATGTCTTCTATCTCCACGCAAACCAATAATGGTCCATTACATTAATACAGTATCAAGGGGATGGGGGAGGGGACACTGGGGCATATGTCTTTTCGAGCTTTTTTTAACAAACTATACATGCTTTGTCGATTAATTAGTAAAACTTTATCAATTTTTTACTTTAAAAGATGAAAATTCACTGTGTTTGTTTATTGTTCCCCGCTTTCGCGAAAGCGAGGGGACATTAAATCTCATTCGTCTGTCCATCTGTCCGTCTGTCTAGCTGTCCGTCCGTCACAAAAACTTTAACCTTGCCCATAACTTTTGAATTAGTGAAGCTATGACTTTCATATTTCATAGTGTATTCCTTGTGACAAAACCTTTCTTTGGGTACCTCCAAATTGACCTTTTGACCTTGACCATGGAGTTTGACCCACTTTTACACAAAAATTCCAAACTTTTACTTTGGTCATAACTTTTGGAAGGTACTAGGACTTTCATATTTCACATATGTATTCTTTGAAGCAAGACCTTCTATTGGATACCAACAATTTTGAACTTTTGACCTTGACCTCGGAGATTTCCGTACTTATGAAAAAACTTTAACCTTGACCATAAATTTTTGAATGGTAAGGGCTAGGGCTTTCATACTTCATATATAAAATTCTTGTGAGAAGACCTTTCATTGACAATCTGATTAAAATCAGATCCTTTGATCCGCTCACATAGATCGCTACACGAATGTATGTGAGCGGATCAAAGGATCTGATTTTAATTAGATTGTTTCATTGAATACCAAGAACTTTGCCCCTTGGACCTTGACATTGGAGTTTGACCTACTTTTTAAAAACTTTAACCTTGGTCACAACTTTTAAACGGTAGATACTAGGACTTTTATATTTCACATATGTATTCTTTGTGACAAGACCTTTCATTGGATACCAACAATCTTGACCTTTTGACCTTGACCTTGGAGATTTTTTGTACTTTTGAGAAAACTTTTACCTTAATTGACCATAACTTTTGAATGTTAAGGGCTATGGCTTTCACACTTCACAGATGTAATCCTTTTGAGAAGACTTTTCATTGGATACCAAGAACGTTAACCCTTTGACCTTGACCTTGGAGTTCAGTGATAATTTCTGAATAGATGACTTATGATAGGGTGTTCATATTAGACACAAAATGTCATTAAAAAATGACATCTCACCCAAAAAAGACACCGAAAGCGGGGGACCACAATTCTTTGAATTTGCTTGTTTTCAAATTACTTTGGTTTCTTTCCAGAACACCAGTGATTCTTACGCGATCGGAAACAAAAAGGCCACGTATGTCAAGTTACTTTTTTAAATTCCTGTAAAATATTCTCATTCATACATAAAATCGACAAGGAGAGACCTATTGCAGCATCTCCAATAAGTGCCTTATAATATTACATTGAGAAGGTATATTTAAGTAAACCACTGTGCCTTTTCTCTGTTTCAGGGGATCATAGGACCTTGCTTCACAGTTTTAGGTGTGAGATGCACGTTTTAAAATCCATGATAAGAGACCACAGTCTTAGTTTGTCCGAAGCTAGAAATTTGGTAATTTGGTAACTTCTCGTATTCTGTTTCCAGTTTAGTATGTGTTTTGAGGACTTAATATGGCAAAATACTTGGTTACTTCTCGTATTCTGTTTCCAGTTTATTATGTGTTTTGAGGAATTGGCAAAATACAATCAAGCATTTATAATACAGTGTATATAGAATCGATACCGGTATTTTACGAATGAAGACGACTGTAGCCATATCTTTTTTCATTGATTTTATTGAACTATGTACAACTTATTAAAGCCAATATAGTCAACTCTTTTTTGGGTACTAATGATCAAATTTTATGCGCCTGTCAGGACGATTGAAGATGCTAAAAAATATTTTGCGAGAAATAGTTAATCTAATACATGTACATGTCCATGTATATGTATGAAATAATTCATAAGATAGGGATGGGGTGGGGGGAACAAATTAATTTTATTTTTCCATTATAAATAAATAATTAAAAATTGATTTATATATTGCAGATATTATTGTGCTCACCGGATTCCAGTGAAGAGAACTTTTCAAGTGAGTCTTATTAATGTAACGGTAAATTGAGGAAATTACGTGCATGGAAGCATATAAGAGATATAAAAAATAATAACATAAGATACATGATAACTTTTAGAAGAATGCAGTCAGTCAGTCCGGAAGTGTACTACCATGACAGCGAGAGACCTCGTCTTGGAATCCGGATGTTCCCCGATTGACCGGATGTTGTATTGTCTCGATAAAACAGAAGTTTCCGATTGTTTTAAAAGCTTCCAGTCTGTGAAGTTCGTCGTCAGTCATCTCCAGAGAGTGTGTTCTAGACACAGAGAAGACCAGTTGAGCTGACCAAATCCTTACAAACGCCTTGTTGATATGAGATTGTAGCTGAAAATATTCGAAAGAAACTGTGACAGGAATTCAGTTTTATTTTTCAGGCACTTTTAACACTTAAAAATATGGAGTGTTTCGCTGAGGGCGGTAGGGTGACGACGAAATGTATATTTACTTGTTTTTTTTTTAAATTAACGATCTTTTTCAAAAGAATATTTGAAAACACCTAAGTTTTGTTTTATTCATATTTGAGTTCAGATTTTCTTTTTGCACGGTGTAGAGTCTAAATGGTTAATTTCAGGACAAAATCGCTTTCGATCGAATCTTTACTATGATATCGATGTAAATGCTCCTCACCGTTAAGCTTGAGAAGACACCACTTTGTCTAAAAGGTCCAAGAAATTGCGATGACACGCGATTCTGCCAGCTAGAATAAATACGTAAAGGTACATTAAACAATTTGTGAATTTCATTTTTAAAAAGCGAAAATCAAAGTGTACATATGTGTATACCACATGCAGTTTGCTAAACAAACAAAATAACATATTAGGGGGAAAATTACATACCCTCCCCTCACAGGATTTATTTTTTGACAAGTTATCAATATCAGATTTTTCCTCTGCTTGTCTTTTTTCCTTTCTTAGATAGATGTGCCCCCCCCCTCCCACCCCCGAAAAAAAAATCTGGAACCGCACATTTTAGCTTATAACTAATATTTATGTACTCTTAAGTTTAGAATTGATACCTAATTATCATTACCAGATCATTAATTGGTGGTGGTGGGGGGAGGAGGGGGGGGGGCTTTTTTCATTCTCGATTTTAACATTTTTTTTTAAATATGTATGAATTTGGTACAGCGTTTGGCATGCTGCTACAAAATTTGAAGGGACTATCTGCTTCATGATAAAAGATTTTGCGGGGTTCAATTGATGATCTACAACTTTTAGATCCACCTCGACAAAATTTTGTATGATCAGATTCAGAATACAGTGTATTACCATTTACTACGAAAGCCCAATGAGCTCATTTTCGTAGGTAAAAAAAATAAATTTCGCGAATAAACGCGTAACTTTCGCGATATAACGCGTAACTTTCGCGTTATAACGCGAAACTTTCGCGATATAACGCGTAACTTTCGCGTTATAACGCGAAACTTTTGCTGTTTAACCAGACATTTGCTTTAGTCTCAACTTTCTTTTGATTTTGACATCAAGTTTAATTCATTACAATGATAAGCAAAAGGCTATTTTGATTTTGGACTATCACAAGATAAATTGTAAGCTTTCTTGCTATTGAATCCATCTTTACCGTAACAATTTGTCTTTCTCAACGCTGATCAAAGTTTATGCAAGTTTTCAAAAGTTAAACTTCAAGATTATTAATTTCGGGGAAAATCACCCCTTTCTGGCGTCTTTTTTATGCACTCTCTAGAGAATTTGAAATAATTTTATTTTATAGAGATTAAGATCAAGATCTCAAAATGAGGTAGATTTGTCAATTGTGTCCCACTGCATTTGTGAAAACTGGATAGCAGATTTTCATTTTTTTTCCGCTGGATTCACTGTGGAAATACGATATCCTATTTTGAGGTTGCACCACGTTGTCATTCCATTGCTTACGAAAACATTGACAATTCAAAGTGTACAAACTCTGCTGTATACCTTCATAGTTTTTATTTATGGCTAGTCCACGAACTTCTCTATAACCCAATATATAAATATTGGAGAAAATTTAGAGATCCCTCCTCCTCCTCAATAAATTTGTAATTAACAATATCCAATTATAATTGTTATTTAAACAGCGTCATATGACCCATTAAGCTCATGAAATCATACATTGTTCATCCACTTTTACGTTATGTTTCTACAGTGTATAATTTTTTGTCCAAAATGATTGATTGCTTAATTTACTAGTGGTGCAGTTGTAGTAAATGTTACCGATTAAAAAAAGCTTGAAAAAAGAGTCAAGTAGAGAATTTCCTCAAAAATAATCAGTTTAAAGAATTAAATTAAATTTTAACAATTAAAAAACATGTACAAGAAAATAAAACTCATTTTATTATTCAATGGTAAGGTTTTTTAAATAAATATTCTGATGACCAATCTATCCTATTCCCGCATCATTTCTCCAGTACATCTTCTGAGGAAATGATATTTTTTATTTATAAATAAGTTCCTAAGAGTTCCCGTCTGTGTTCATGTTCTAATCTGTCAGTCAAGATCAATGTTCCTGAGTAACATTACTATATGCATATTATTTCGCGTTAATTCGCGAAAGTGTCGCGTTATAACGCGAAAGTTACGCGTTAATCCGCGAAAGTTACGCGTTAATTCGCGAAAGTTTCGCGTTATAACGCGAAAAATTAATTTTTTTTACCTACGAAAATGAGTTCATTGGGCTTTCGTAATTTACGTTCATTGTTTAAAAAAAAAAAAAGACGCAATATCATGTACGGACTTATTTTTTTTTTATCCATTTGGGCACTTTATCACTCACTAGTGTTCCATTTTCCATTTCCACCTGTGCATATTTTTATAATTTCAATGAATTTTCTTCAATTTCTTCACAAAGAAATTTCTTTTTTTTTTCCTTTTTTATTTTAAATATTTTTTTTTCGCATTATAACGCGAAAGTTTTATTTTTTTAACCTATGAAAATGAGGTCAATAATAAAATATATTTAACATTTACTGGTTATTGCTCTTTCGATATGAAATTGCTAGAAATTACAAAAATACACTTGTTTTAAGGATAAATAAAACAAATATATACTAACTTTTTCAGAAGTCGGCAATAAGTCTTATAGATTCATTATATTCAAATAAGTTATTTTAAGAATATCAGTAAGTGAGAGAACTCTGCAAGATTTTTTTCGCAGTGTTTTAAATATATATAATTTTGTACAGAACTACATATAATAGAAACTAATGATTTCTTTATTTTTTTCAGGGAAGAATTATTAGTGTAATTTCTATTCAAAATCAATCAAGCACTCACCAATTTTTTTTAAATTTTTTTATACTTCCAATAGAAATGTTCGCGAGCGCTCGCTGTGTTGAACAGCTAGGCCTCTGATAGATATTGGTATTATTGAATTTTTATATTAAAATTTTTACCATGACTTAGTTGCTTATCATGATATATGCAGAATACAATGGTGGAATTGCCTCGGGATTTTAAACATTACCACAATGTATAGTGAAACCTGACTAAACTAGCTATTATTAATATTCCGTAAAATTAAGATTGGATCACATCCATATAGAAGAATATTTTTTATGCATCCGTATGATCCGGGCTTTAACCTTCGCAATAACTTTTGAACCATGAGAGATAGAGACTTCATATTTGGTATGCTTACTTCACCAATAAAGCTCTGTCAAATGGCACCAAGGTCAATGACCTTGTGACCTTGACTGTGACCTATATGCTAGAAATAGCTTTTTAGACTTTATATTGAACCATGAGAGATAGAGTCTTCATATTTGGTGTGTATACTCCACTAATAAAGCTCTTTCAAATGACTAAAGTCATGACCTTGTGACCTCGACTGTGACCTATAGGCTAGAAATAGCTTTTTAGACTTTTTGCCATAACTTTTGAACCATGAGAGATAGAGACTTCATATCTGGTATGCATACTATACTAATGAAGTTCTTTCAAATGACACCAAGATCCAATGACCTTGTGACCTTGAATGTGACTTATCTGCTGAAAATAGTTTTTTTTAACGTTGTTGCCGCCGGGCGCATAGTGTTTCACAAACACAACTTCTTGTATTTGAAAAATATGTCTGGAAACCAAATATGTAAGGATGCAAAATCCCACAGCCATATTTCACAAGTGTATTCCTTGTGACAAGACCACCAAATTTGACCTCTTGACCTTGATCTTGGAGTTTGACACACTTTTACACAAAAATTCTAAACTTTAACCTTAGTCATAACTTTTGAACGGTAATGGCCATTGCTTTCATACTTCACATATATAATCATTGATGAGACCTTACACCAGATACCAACAACTTTGACCATGACCTTGGAGATTGACCTCCTTTCAAAAAAACTTTAACCTTCGCCATAACTTTTAAACGGTAAGGGCTAGGACTTTCATACTTCCCATATGTAATCTTTGTGAAATTGTGACAAGGCATTTCATTAGATACCAACACTGACCCTTTGACCTTGGAATTTGACCTACCTTTAAAAATGTTAACTTTGGCCATAACTTTTGAACAGGTGGTGCTAGGGTGTTTTAGTTCACATTTGTATTTCTTGTGAGAAAGCCTTACTTTGGGTATCAACATGTTTGATTTGCATTTTAAAAACTTTAACCTTCTCTATGTTGCCATACCGGGGCATCAGTTTTTCACAAACACATCATGTTTTAATTTAATTTGTTTTTCTGGCTGGATGAAGCATATCCATTCCCTATAAATCTCTATGTCTTGATCCCTCACTAAACCTATGGCCTGTTGTAAATGTGACACAAGAAAATAAAAATGTTGAAAGCTGTGCTTTTTGTGATTTTATTACCTTTTTCTCATCATGATGTTACATGGAATCAAGGACAAATTGCCTATTTCAAAGAAGAAAAACAGTATCATTCAAATGCTGTAGAGCATGTAGAAGTGATAACATTCTAGAAAAAGAATTGAGGCACAGACTTGTACAGCTCAGAGCATAAGACTTTCCTGCAAGCCACATGTATATCTTATAATGAATGAAAAGCATAACAGAAAGGATTTTTAATGTCCCTCTTTTACCTGGTAAATGGACACAAGTGTATTTCTTTAACTTTGAAGAGGAGAGACATAATACAAGCAAAAGAGTCCTAACAAATGATAAAAGGACACAGTTGACTTAAATCACATTTTAACAGGCTTCATATATATACAAACAGATAAATAAATTAAATTCAAAAGAAAAAAAAAGTTGCTTGAGTTATATATTTTTTCCTTATTTTCAATATTATATTTTACTACTTCATTTTTCCTGTTTTTATATTTTTTTTTCCCAAAGTAAAAGAAAAATCTACATCTGCTAATATCTACTTTAAAAGATTTGTTTTATGTTAAAACTGCCGTTTCATTAACAATCACCACAAAATAAAAACAATCAGAAATATCTGTATCCCCTCTCTGTTCATTAGAAAAGAAAAACTGATTTCAGAACAGAAAGTCTGCAGCTCAGTTTTAAACACATCATCATGAATAAATGCTTGCATAATATTCAACAATGGACATTATATAAAAAAAATAGGAAACACAGAGAAATCTATAACAAGAGAATACATGACCCAGTAAAAGGATGCAATGTACAGCAAACATTACATACTTAAGTAACGGACAAATTTTTCAAACATGCATGATGATACTACAAATATCAATTTTTCAAACAAAATTTCTTTGCATATAATGAAAGTCAGTGCATTGAAAGCAAGAAACTGCATATATCAAGCATAAATTATTGGTTTCAGGTGATAGAGCACATTACAGTTTTGACAAATAGAACTATATGCATGTTACATCAATATAGAAAAAAAATTGATTGCCTTGAAAACAATGCAAGGAGAACACATTTCTCTATCAACAATAATAACATGATTCAGTAGTCAAATTGATATCCATCAAGGCCACTTGCAACAAGAGATCCTTTTTCTCACATAACAAGTCTCCAATTTCCAGTTCACAATATTCTTTAGGAAGAATGAGTCTGAAAACTTGTTCTCTCCCTTTGAATGGATGACATTTGTTCAGATGTTGAACTGGTTTGAGTTCTCTCCCTTTGACTGGAGCTCTTCACTTCACAGTAAACTGGTTGGAGCCTTGTCTTGATGACACCCATGCTGAAAATACATCCCTGCAGAGAAAAAAAACTAACAATGACACCCATAAAACATGTAAATAAAAAACATTCAAAGAATAAAAGCTTGCTTAGCATTTCTCAAACAGGAGGACAGACTTGGAATGGATTTTTCTCTCTCCTCTCTTGGTATTACTACCACTGAGTAACACTCACCTGCAGTGATTTACAACACACTCGTTTGAGCAGTACTCATTATCCCAGCCTGGGCTCTCTATGGTTGGATTAGTACAACCATTTCTGATACACATAGACTGCATCAAGTCTCCACCATCCAAACATATGTTTGCTTCCTCCTGAAAGATGTAATAGAGAATAGTGATTTCTAAGCAGACTTTTAAAACATATGTTGGTATGCTTTAAAACTTAAAAATTAAATTTGAAAATTAATGTTTAACAATATTTGAATTAAAAATCAGTAAGTATAATAGCTAACCATCAATTGTCCTAGGACTGGTTGTCTTGGAGCAATAGGTTGAACGGGTCGAGGGGGAGATGGCACTATATGCTGGGGGCTCACATGAGGGTGCTGGGGGCTGTATCCCATCTGTGGGGGGCTGTTGGTGGGAGGTCCCATCATCAGGTCCCCCATGTTAGGTGACATGTTGGGTCCCTGGTGAAGGGGGGAAATTCCTGTGCCTTGGGGGGACATGCCGTGACTGTCCGGAGATTGTCCTTGGGGGGACATTCCATGAAGACCCAAGGGTGACTGGTTCGGCATGGCCATGGAGGACATGGGCCACACCCCCTGGGGAGGGGATACATTAGGAGATCCATGCATGGGGGAGGCCTGTGGCCCCCTTGCCAAGTGACTTTTATCCATGACATTTCCAAATGGACTGTTGTCATCCATTGGTAACTGAAAATAAATTGCTCATGTTCAGATTTTCAGCAAAACTTTTTTTTAATAATACAATTAACAATAAAGTAATTGCTAATTAAAACAAGAAATATTCATTGTCTGTTGATTTTCTTTCTTTGAGATTAAATACCTGCTAAGTCTCAAAAATCAGTATAATTACAAATGTTAAAACATTTCGAAAATTTTTACTATAATTTTTTTCAGACAAAAGTTTTAATGCTACGTGCAGATTATCCCAAATATAAAGGCAGAAATAATGGGTTTTTAGGATAATTGCAAATCAATCTTATAATTCAGTGCTTTTTATTGAGGACAGGTGCAGTGATCATTCTATGTGATTTGTTGAGTCTCTTTTAATGACTGATGACTGGATCCCATGGTAACTGAAAACCACCAATCAAACAAGAGTTTTCCTGACTCAGACCTATTGTGTTACTTTTCCTTCTCTGTTGTTATGGTGGCTTTAATTCCCGACATAATTATCTCTTTTTATTTGTATAAAATGTAGCAGTATGGAATAGCCATGCTTACTGATGCTTAAGACAATTATCTCTGGAAAGTTTCAGTTTTTAACATTAACTGTATTTGCAACTGAAGTGACATTCTTTTTTTCCCCATAAAAGCAATAAATGATATTAAAACTAACTCTTCTAGATAAAATCATTTCTTAAATCAAGTAGCAAACCAACTTCTTTCTTTTTTAAGGAAAAAAAACAGCAATCCTATCACGAATTATCAGTGTGCAATTAAAAAAAAGGAATTTCCTTTAGAAAATAAGATGGCTTTTTTCTTGACCTATATTATGTAACCCCACCTGCTTTATTAAACAAATATCAAACAAAAGGACCCCATTTGCATTTTAAGCCAGCTGATTTTAACGGCAATGACACTAATGCAAATGCACCTTTAAACAGCTTTCAAAGTACAGGTCACATAATTCAGGTTAATTTCCATCTGATGAATTTTCACTTTTAAAATGCACATGTATTAATACCCAAGTTTTCTCTCTATACAGTGTTAAGATCCAGGAAAAATTACTTGATGTGTCTTTTTACAATAATGAATATTATTTTAAGAAAAAAAAGGTATTAATTTGCATACATTTTCCTTTCATTGAATTTTGCATAATATTGCATGGTTTTCTGAATTACCTTATTTAAATAGTCATTTAAATGTATTTTATGGTTTTGTTGATGAATGCCCATTTAGGATTTATACCCAAATAAACTGTCCATTATCTGAGCTGATCAGACAACAGATGTTATTCAAAAGCAGTTTGTCAATTCTTTTTTTTTTTTCCTTATCCAGGATCTATCAGAAATAGTTCGTTTTTAATTTCTAGTTTCCTTCATATTAACTTAACAAATCCTCTATAAGTCTTGACACAAAAGCTGATTCTGTGTCTAATGGGAACTAACCTGTGATACCAGGCTAGCCCTGTAGGCTGCGAGTTGTTTCAGGTACTCCTTCTTTGCTAGCTCAGTTCTCTTTTTATACAGCTGTAAAGAAATGAAATAAATAGATTATGCATTGAAGAATCTTTAAAATGTTAATATTTCTAAAATGTAAAACAAAATTTTAAATAAAACCACCTCTATGTTGCAATGTTTAATGCAGTACTGCATATATCTGTTTGAAAATAATGGCACTTATTGAATTGGAAGAACACATATCTAAAAGTCGAAGAGTTAAAAGATCATCAAATGCCATCTAGAATTAATTATCCACAAAATGGAACATAACCGTTAAAAGCTGACTGGATCAAATAGGTACTGAGTACAATAGAGCCGCCCCTGTGTAGTTGGTTTTAGTGGACATTAGGGGTTCTAAAAGTTCACAGGATGACCAGAATTTGTCCCATTAATGGTCGAGATCAAGGGGCATGCTATCAGATGAGATTTTCAATAGATTGGGCATTATGGGGTATTTAGTTTTGTCTGTAGTATTGAAAAAAGCTTTTGTGTTCAGTGTGGGTTACTAGCCATAATGTAACCTTAGACAATCTGTCACATGTTTGGACTGGAAATTTACAGTGCTCAGTCAATCAGATCTTAAGGTCTTGACAGTACATCTTATAAAATAGCAAATGAAAAATTAGTCCCCAAAATACTGGCCAAATTAATTTTAATTATTAATAATTAAAAATCAGAAATAGTTGAGAGTAGACAGTTTTAGTACTGAATATGCAACTTGTGCAGATTTTAATTCTAGAATTTCAACATATTTGGAAACTGTGCCATATGCTCTATGGTACTGTTTTCTGGTTCAAGTACTAGACAGTTATTTTTGTAAAGTTTCACTCATTTAAATTCAGCATCAACTTACAATGTCTGACAGTCTCATAAAAATAAGTGGGAAAAACTGTCAATCCCTTGCATTCTCAGACACTGTGTGTTGAGCCAAAGTCGGTACAAGTCATAAATAAATATGGACAATATTCAAATGATGGGGGAAAATATTTACAAATTATTATATTATTAGAACAGGAAAGAATATACACTACTCATTTTGCAATTTTTTTAATAAACCTTTTGTTATTAAAAAAAAAACAGCCATATTTATAGCTCATTATAACTTGATACGCTAATGAAAAAAATATTCCATACCATTTTAAGATAATAATAAAAAAAAATTTTGCAATAAACTTTGGTTTGTGATCATGCAAACAAGGGCCACGCTAATTGATATTCCATTATTGTTGTATTTTTATCGGACCAATCATAAGATAAAGTTGATAGTGTTTTCAGGCTTTGGAGAGGCTCATCAATCTTGTTCTATCTGATGGACTACTAATGGCTACTTCTGGGAAAATGGCCACAAATTATCCTCCACTATTACTGTAGCTTTTAGTGAGGAGAATATAAGGTTACTCTATAAGGACAGTGTCAATCAGTTTGAAAATATTTTTGGTAGATCGAAAAAGGTATTAATTTTGCAGTTTATTCACTATTAATCTCAATTTTTAAACAAATAACTTGACCAGTTTTTTTTTTACCCTTTTTTTCATTATCTGCTAAAACATTTCAACATGTAATAAAGTGGGAGCTTGAAGGATTTTCTTTTAATGAGGTACTATATGAAATTATATTTGGGGGGGGGGGGGTCCCTTCTAATGAACTTGCTCAGTTTATAAATCAAAGACCACAGAGCAATTAACTAGCAATAAACAGGACAAACATTGAATCCTGAATGGGACATTTTCAGTTCTTAATAATGTAGATCCCTAAATATATGCATGGAACTAATTATCATAGTTTGATGTCAGATTTTTGCAAAGGCTTGTGGGTATACAGATTATAGCAGAAAAAATTGTCAGGAACAATGTATGCATTCTGAATGTTCTCTTTGCCCAAGCATTGTCATATAAGCTAATGCTTTATGTAGCACTTTGCACTGCTTGCTATAATAATGATCTGCTAGACCTTCACAAGAAAGATTCAGATTACAAGTTCTAGTGTGAATGCACTTACATTTTTTCTCTCAGGTTCCAGGCTATCCCACATGGATGCCACGATTTTGGAAACCTCTCCGAAACTGGCAGAGGGATTACCTCCCTTTATTGCTGCTTGAGTATCTCGGAAGAACAAAGCATATGCTGAAACTGGTCTGGAATTAAAGAAAAAAAATTAATTCTACATGTCTTCAAATATATCATACACATATTATTAATAACATAAACAGATTTGTAATATATTTTATGGTAACTGAATTTGGATTTCAAAAGCTGCAATTCTCATTTTCAATTAACATTTCATAATTCTGAATGTCATGTGGTAAAAAAATAAGACTACTAAATGTATATTTACTGAAATTAAATTTGTCTGAAATTTTAAAAAAGGCTGGTTTTACTGATGCTACTATATTTAACTTAAGAATTTTTTATATAAAATAATGTCAAAGGTGGATAATTAATTAAATATTAAATAATTACTTTTGGGGTTCATTGGGATCCTTCTTCTTTTTCTTTTTAGGTGTTTTCCTGGTTTTAGTGACCCCGGCTGGTGGGGGTGAGGGCTCTTTCTCTGTTGACTTAGCTGCTGCTTGTCTTTTCATCAGCTGTTCAATGCAAAGCATAGCTCATTATTACAATTTCTTTAATATGTGTTTTATTTGCTTTATCCTCAGATTTTTTTCAGATTGCAGCATTTTGTACTAGTTAGTTCCTCTTCATTTCTCTTTGAGTATTACATATACAATCAAATCTCATTATCTCGAACTCAATGAGACAGAAGAAACATAGGTAATCAGAGATTACAGAGCTCACCTCAACGAATGTTGTCTTTAAATAAGGCAAAGTCACACAATTAACCAACAAAAAATGTACATTCCAAAAATGAAAATATCTAAGTTTTGATCTTACTTTGAAGTAGACCAACATAAAAAATTGAAAGTAGTTCTGAAAATGTAATTCAGCATTAAAGCAAATTTGAGTTTTCATTTTGATGCAACATTTGTGCAAGTTTGGTTTATACAATATTATAAAAGCCTTAAAGTTTTTTGGTAAAAGACCTGCAACCATAACTTTAACCTGGTCTATTATCTGAAAAATATATATGTCAAATTCAGCATCCGAAGCAAGCCCGGTAGTATCCATCCTTAGATGTATTGTCCATGCAAGTTTGCACATTATAAGGCTCATAGTTAATTGGAAAAGAAACCTGCACCAAAAACTTTAACCTGTTCACTCAACCGGAAAATGTAGGTCAGATTCAGCATCCGAAGCAAGCCTGGTTGTATCCATCCTTAGATGTATTATCCATGCAAGTTTGGTCAACATAGGACTTACAGATACTTGGAAATGAAACCTGCACCAAATAACTTTAACCTGTTCGCTCTACCGGAAAAAGTAGGTCAGATTCAGCATCCGAAGCAAGCCCAGTAGTATGCAAGATCATGCAAGTTTGGTTAACATCTTATATTACTTGGAAATGATACACCAAAAACTGCACCAAAAATGTTAACCTGCTCCAAAAACATTAACCTGGTCATTCCTTTGCTAAAATTGCAGCATCTGAAACTTTGACTGGTACAATGAACACTAGAACCATCTTCCATGCATGTCTAATCAATATAGGACATAGAAGTACTTAAAAAGAAAACTGCTCCAAAAAACTTAACCTTAACCCGGGACGCCGACGCCGACGCCGAGGGTATTACATAAGCTCCCCCAACTTCGTTGAGGTGAGCTAAAAACTACAAGATATCTGATGATTCAAGACACTGAGGGTAAAATACTTAAAGAATATGTGGTTATGACTTCCAAATCACTTCTCAACATATCCATGGTATTCCAGATATTGATGTAAGAGCTACTGAAGTTCAACTGTTTGTGATTTATATGCTTTGACCCCTTAATCTTTAATAGATTTTTTTTCAGATTACTACATTTTGTACCAGCTAGTTCCTCTGTATTTCCTTTTCATATTACATATAATTTAAAAGTTCTAAACTCTAACAAGTATGTTATGTTGATAGATGTAGTTCACAAAATAATAAATATCTTCTTCATAAAATATCAATCTGGTGATTATTGCCTCTAATTAAGTGCAATAAAAAAGATACAGTGTAATAATTACAATGGATGTTGAATGTGAATGGACTTCTTGATTCTTTACAGTTTAATGAACCTTTTCAATCAACCTTTCAAAAATAAATTCTTTTTAGTGAAAGGCATACAAATTTTCTTCCAATGATAGAGTTTTTTAAAATCATGTTATTCTTAAAAGAATTATCTCTTAAATTATTGCATTTATAATGTTTTCAGTTTAATTTTAAATGTAAAAAAGCTTTACACAATTATTTGTAACAATTTAAAGGTTTAAGCTGGCATCATGATCCCTTTTTTTGTATTTCTGGCATCAAATTTATTTTTTGTTGAGCACATGAACATCAAGTAATATCCTGTAAAGGTGATCACAGAACAACAGAAATTGAAAAAAAAAACCTGTGTTTAATTTACTACAACAGGTGTGACAAGAATGGCAAGGAAAAAAAATTAAAAAGATTAATGGAGCCAAAAAAGGCAAACACAAAAGATAAGAAGTCACTGACAAACAGAGTTTATTGTAAATATGTCTGGCAAAGATAAAAGTGTGCAATATCGAGAAATGAAAAAGGTTGTATAAAACACTAAGGTCAGAGGCTTGTCAAAGACAGATGGTGTATGGCATTTTAAGTAATGATGTAAAACTGTGAGTTTATTATCAACTGAAAGCACAATGCTGTACATGTTTAAAGGCTTTACAACTTCTCAAAGGGTAATGAGTAATGGGTTTTGCAGTAAATTATTAATTTTTCTTTGGATGATAATATTTTTAAAGAAAATCCAAAAATGATACTTAATTTTTGGTTCAATTTTTTTTTTCATGCCAAAAGAAAACTGAAAAATCAAAAAAGAAAGGATTTCTCACCTGAGCCAAAGGGAGACAATCGTCACTGCTATCCTCGCTGCTCTCCCTTTGTGGAGACACTGAGTTTGTGCTTTGGGACGGTGAGGTCTCTCTGTTTGGTTCCAGAAAGTTGTTGTCCATTTTAATGACTGAGATCTGAGCATTGTTGGTCATAGTGGGTACTGAGGAAGCCATGCTGGCCTGGGGAAAGTTCTGATTTCCATTGTCTATAGAACTGGTCATCATGGCCATAGACGTCAGAGAACTAACACTGGGATTCAAGTTATTGGTGAAAGAAATGTCGGGGATATCAAAGTTCTGTGGGGGAAAGATGGGGGTGAATGCTGCAGTGTTTAAAGGGTTGACACTAGACACAGGGGTAGTGTTCTGTTGAGAGTAAACATTGTACTGCGCTGGGAGAAAGTCTGAGTACTGGGGGGTGGGGAAGCTCGTCTGGGGGTGGGGCTGTACGTGTGATACACTGTCAGATACTGGAGGGAGGTTCAAAGACGTGATGTCAAAATCGTCATCAAAACTCGGAGTGTGGAATGTCTGAAAATAATATTAGAAAATTATTAAAAGAATCATAAGTATCATGATTTATTTTCATAAACTTTTATAAAAAAAATTCATGATGAATGAATTTTTACTTGTGATTTTGTTACAATGATTGTGCATTTTAACCCTTTGTGTGCGGGAACCCAATATATTGGGTCTGACGTCACAAACGCTTGCGTGCGGGAACCCAATATGTTGGGTCTGAGTCTGAAATTAGCGCTTCGTCACATAAAACGTCGTATAAAACGTATAAATGAGCTGTGAATTATTCAGAATCTATCAAAATGTATTATACAACTACAACACATTGAAAAATAGGTAATTAAGATGTGAAAATATGCGAATTGTTTGTGAAATTGTGATTTGAAAGTGAAGGTGTTTGGCGTTTGTTACGATGAAAGTCAGTCCGCTATTTTTGGAAACAGGGAAAAAACGCGCATGTAATAAATATCTACTAACTTGCTCAAATATAAAGGAAAATAAAGAAATAAATCCAAAAAATAGTTTAATATCTATAATTCTAATAAATTTGTGTTAGTAGACTTAAAATTACTTAGAAATTTTCGATATTTTAGCAGAAAAACTCTGGTTAACTTGACTTGACCTTAACCTTGCGAAGTTCTTCCTGTTAAAACGAAAGTAGGATGCACATGCTACTGAACTTCTGTCTGAAGCATATCGAGAGCTTATATATTTTGGACATACGGTAGTTATTATTTGTTTATTTGGTGTTTTGTAAGTAGACATGCATTACACCGTCTAAATGAAAACAATAATGCGCGAGATTGAACCTGGCAAGTCACAGACGTTTTTCTATGCACGTTGTTTACATACGTAAATCAAGCTTTGCTTTGAAATAAAGATTAACAAAAAATAATTTGAAGCATCTTATTAATTAAAAGCATTTGTTTTTTTAAACAATAAATAGACAAATAAATAAGTACACATTTTTTTTAAATCTAAAGACCCATTTCCAAATTTTTGAAAGATAAAAAAGGTTCTGGGACATCTAATAAAAGTAATAAATGTGGAGGACCTTGAACATTGTAGAAAATTTTCCAATGAGTTATTGCATTAATAAGTGAGTGAAAAAGAGATATATAGAGAATATATATCCATCACCATATTTTTGTGATCAAGCAAAATTAATTCATGATACACGTATACGAAATATACACAATATGAATTTTATAATTGACAACCATTGAGTCAATTAAGTGGCCCTAATTACACCTAAACATTCTGGTTTAAAGCTGCTTGATGTTCCATCTATTTGGGAAAACTTTGAAATATTTTTTTATAACAGTGTATGATAAATTGTAAAATTTTTAGCACAATTAAAAATTAAAAATAAACTTGATTTTTTTCTATAAAGTGTCTTCAAATGTAAGCTAGTTATCAGAAAAGATGCATTGATGCATTTGATCACGTGCATATACATGAAAATGGTAAAAAGTGATGAAAAAATTTTGAAGTGCTGATTTTCCCTGAAATGACTGTCATTTGTGTAAACTGTGGTATTTGTTTTATTTCAGTAAGTAATAAAATACCATTTTATTTTCTTGATGAGGATTATATAGACTCTCAATAATTTCAAAACGAAAATATGTTCCGGGATCTTTGGTATCTTAGAGTTAGATTTCTTCAAGGCATTTACATACTCTAGTTTGCATGGGACCTAATTAGTAAGTGAAAATAATTGACTGCCCCAACCTATACATGCACACACAAAATTATAAAATTCACTGCTAAATAAAAGGTATCTCTACAGTTTAAAATTAAGATGAATTGTCATTTTTGTAGGCATAAGAAGGAGATCAGAGTCTTTAGAATGAGTAATTTGTAAATCGTATGGACTTGCATGTACATCTGTTCAATAAATTACAATAAAGACTGGGTAATACAGCAAAACTCGTTTAGTACGAACACGAATATTGCAAATTTACAGATATAGCGAAGTCAATTTGGATAGCCAGCTAAATAAATTTAATTGATTTCTTATACAGTTATAACGAATTACAGATATAGTAAGTAATTTCATAGGTCCCAGTGACTTCGTTATAACTGAGTTTTACTGTAGGAATTGTACTTCTCAACCTCAAAAGTAGAACAAGTTTTCACCTATTAATATGTAATATGTCCTCTAGTTTACAAATTTATAAGGCCCAAGAAGCTTCTACATTCCATCCCTTCTAGATATGTAACAGTAAATGAATACAGAAAAAGGCTAAGATTTGCTGTGAGAATTTTTTTTTAATGATGGTCGAATTTTTTTTTCTTCAAAAATGCAAATTCCTGTACAATTACTTATCAACAAAGATTACATTTTGGTCTCCAAAGATGTTTATTTTTAAATATGAAAATATGAATAGTTACTAAGAATACAAAGAAATCCCACAGTGGAAATAAAATATAAATTTCATTACTGTATACAGGGTTATTTTCGCCCCGTGTTATTTTCACCCTTTTGAACTTGTGAACAATTTTGCCCTAGCTGTTTTAAATTCACCCAGTCATAGTTCTGTTTAGGAAATTATGAGGTGTAATTTGAATTCACCCAATCAAGGAGAGGGTGAAAGGGTCAAAAATAAAACGGGGGCGAAAATTTCCCTGTATACATTATTAGGAATAATATTTTTTGTTGAAGTAAAAATTCAGGCACATTTAAAACTTGTGTAATAGGAAAGGAGAAAATGTATGGTAACTATGGTTGGACCAGAAATTGAACACAGAAACCCTGCTTCACTAGTCAGGTGCTCTACCGAATGAGCTACCCAGGTTGATACCCATATAGCTCAATCATTACATATCCCTCCTTAAATTTATCTTTATCCTTGCAGACACAACCCTAATTCTTATTAGCCCCTGACAGGACTTTCACTTGCAAATCCAGAGGGGTCAATAACATCAAATATGTAACAAGGAAGGAGAAAATGCACGGCTGGACCGTGAATCTAAGAAGGGGCCCCTGCATCACCGGTCAGATGCTCTTTTGACTGAGCTTACTTGGCCTATATCCATGACCCATACTTAAACTTAAAAGTATTTCATAATATATTGATTAATATTATGGTACATATCTGTCAACCATCATTAACTAAAATCAATTGAAAAATTCAAAACTTTTATTCACCAGTGACCACATTGAACGAAGTCATTTTTTAAAACATTATAAATGACTGTTAAAGGTGCTTAAATTTCTAAAATTTAAAGTACTAGTTTTCCTGCTGGCAATTATTGTTGCCAGCCAGGAATAAAACTTCTAAAATAAATGCCACATTTCTTACAGAGTGAGAAGTACTGTCGGAGGAAAGTTGATGAATATGTAAACTTTACAAATAACATGGAGAAATGCATTTTCTTCAATAAAAGCAAAATAAAAAAAAAAGATTTGAGAATTACTAGAGTATATTTAGGGCTGTTAGATACCAGTCATTAGAAAATAAGACCTCTATAACCTAGTGTAAATGTTATTTTATTATTTTTTTTATTTATTTAACATATTGACTGCTTTAATTTGAAAATGAATACTAGTAACAGCTAGCAATTAGTTCATTGTTGTGCCAATTTGCTCCAAGATTTCCCAACCTCGAAAACTGCATATTCTTTGAGGGATCATACTTTCTTATATGATTGCCCATATTTCTTAAAATAATCACTGGTTTTATATTTACAGGCTACTTGAATCTTCAATTTATACTCTTTTTAGTTAAAATCTGAAAAAAATCCATTAACTTGAATCAGAATTCACTTAAACCTACATGAATATATCCCTTACTCAGATAAGTATACAATGACTTTTCACAACATAACGGTATATATATATAACATTGACTTTATCATTGAGTTATTGTTTAAATTAATTTTTTTTTTTGCATAATATTAAACTAAAATTGAATTTTTAAAGCGATTGATTTATTTTTTTTCATCAAAGTGCGATATTTTCTCTGAAAAATATAGTTAAAATGCTAAAAAGTCATTTAAAAATAATTTTTTTGGAAATTTGGTTTCCATGGCAACATAAAATACCAGATTTAAAAAAAAAATAGTAAATATTAAAAAACACAACATTTGCTATATATTTGCCAAATTTCAAGTAAATTGGTTGTCAAGAATTTTAGATATTTGCATTTTAGTACACCATTGTGATAATTTTGTTGATATTACAAAACAACTCAGTCCTGAGGTTACAGCGCACGTAAAACAAGTCAGCACACAAAGGGTTAACATTCAATAACTTCAATTCTCTTTTATTCAAACCACCCGAAATCACCACATTATAACCAAGAAAATGAATTTTCTTTTCTTTTTAGGAGTAAATAAAAATACAGTAAAACTGAGTTATAACGATGTCACTGGGACATATGAAATTACTTTGCTATATACATAATTATTTGTATCCATATAAGGAATTCATTAAATTTATATGGCAGGGGATCCAAAATAACTTCACTTTACTACTGTACAATGGTGAAATTTCACTATATCTATGTTTGTACTGAACAAGTTTTACTGAAGCAAGTACCTGCAAAGTAATGTATAATAATACATAAAAATGCATCTATATATCTGTACGTATGCATGTACTTAAGATATATATTTTTCTAATATGCAATATCACATTTCAAACAAAGGTTTGGTGTAAAGTTGTTAAAATAAAAAAATCCTCTGTTTCATAGGCATTGATGCATTACATCAGTTATGGCTATGAACTTAGGTGTGCTTCTGAATATCTAGATGACACTGACAAATTTGATACAAGAGCCCATGACCTACTTAAAAAATGGCCAAAATTAAAACAGCCCTTACCCACATAGAAACAATCATCCATTCCGAGAAGTTAAAAAGATCACTTCAATTACAAACTTTCAGTCTCGCGGGCAAAGAGGAATACAGCATATGGTAGAGAGGGAAAAGAAAGTTGTCAATTTTCATTAATTATTCAGAGAAATAATAATCTTAGCTGTGATCACCGATTTTATTTGTTGAAATTATGTCAGTTGTGTTCAAAACATATCAATATGTCAAAAAAGGTGACTTAGTTTTTCTGTAAATCCTCGCAATATGATATCTTGTACTTCATTTAGGTTTTATGAAAATTTATACATAATTATTGTGATTTGAATCTCAAATAAAAGTATAATTAACATGTATAGCATTTCACTTTATAAATCGCAAAAGATCATTCATTATGCATGTATTGTAAGTTGCTTCCATCTCCCAAATACATTAAAGGCAAATATATATGGACCCACATAAACTTTGGACGTATTTGCATGCATCCGTAAAAGTGTATATTAAATTACAAAACAAATTAAAATTGGTTTCAAAACTAGTCAAATGCAAAATTTTGATTTTTTTTTTTTACATACAGTATAATTGTATATTGTTATCTTTCATGTCTAATCAAACTGCTGTCCAATAAAATTCTTTTCTTATCAAACAGTACTTAAATATTCATGGACCATGCAGTTGTAAAAATCAGAGACTTGCTGATTCAAATCAATGATCCATAATTATCTAAAAATGATCTCAGAAATATTTGCTGTAAAATGGAGATTTTGACATGTTGACAGTTGGCCATTTTGAAAGATTTGTCTGAAATTCCAGAGAAAAGAAAGATATTAAAGTAATTACATCTCCATACCCATGACGATGGGAGAGACTAAATACCCAAACAAAGGCTTTACCCTGAGTCGATTACCACCTGTTGTCCCCAGAAAACTAACGCCTTCATAATAAACTTTTGATATTCGAAAAACGAGTCTCCAGGTAGATTGTATGATCTTGTTTAAACATTAAGTCAGCAATTTTATCTTATTTTGTCACAACAGATTACCAGAACAAAAGTACAGTCTGATTACAAACACTTCTCGATGCCTATCAGTCTGCTAACTTAATATATCATTTTCTTTCTTTGAATAGAATCTCAAACATCGTATTTTTATTGTGAGGACAAGAAAAAGTTTTACAAATTTATGTCACTTCGTCCAACTATTTACGAAAATATGTCTTGTATTTGGATCACTTCCCCGTGAAATCCGAAACTAGGGACTTTACAACAGGTGCTCCTTAACTATTTCTCCCCTGCACTTCTTCTATTGGTGAAGCCATTGTACAACCAGATCATTTATTTCAGTCTACTTCCAGGTAAAACGAATTCACCAAGATTTAGAAAACAAATGCTTCTACCATTACAACGACAGCTGGTCAGTGAGGAGGGACTGGAATTATATAACGTCTTATTAATCATCAGTTTTTCTACGATTTTTTTTGTTTTTTATAAAGTTAAAATTTCTGTCATTCCAACACCTATGCCTTTCACATTATTGACATTTTACAACATGATTTTTTGATGTCTACAGACGTTTATTATTTTTAATGGGGAAATAAATTTCAAAAATGTCATTAAAAAACATTTAAAAACCCATAACACTGACAATTTTCTGACACTTTGTTCTTCTGAAACATAATTTTCAATCTCTAGGTCATTTTATTTATTACATGTTTATATAACTTTATATTGTATCTTAACAAAATTAATTGCCTAAAGATTTTAATTATATAACTTTAAGAAATTAGCACGTAAAAGTACTGTATTGTCAATTTTTCATGTAGTATATGTTAAATTATGATATAGAATTAAAATTACGGACAGAAGGGTGGCATGTCTTGTTTCTAGGCCTAATAAAAAGTCTGACTTAACCTAACAATTAAAACATGAAAATTTCTTTTTAATATAAATTAAATATACTCAAAGACAGCATTATATAATCATGATTAATGTTGTTGCTAAGAGAAAAAATCCTTGAATTATGAATTGTGACTTTTTTGCATGTATTAATGAAGAAAATCATAAATATTTTACATATTTTGAAAGAGAGTAATTCCTTTCACTTTGGAACTTTGGAATTTGCTTATGAGTATACTTCCTTCATCTTCCCAAGTCAAGAGTTTATGATCCGCGTGAGGAGCGGATCAGAAACTCTTGACTTGGGAAGATGACTTCCTTAAAGCATGTTTTAAAACCATTGCAGATCTCTCCTGCAGTGAAACAAATTTATTGTAACAGTTTTACATTTTCAAAAATCAAAGCATGTTAAATATTTTCTTAGTATGAAATTAACATGTATGGATGCCATTATAAAAGTTTTCCCCTGTTCTCTTCCATTTGTTTGCATAGTTTAAAATTTGTTATTAATTTTAGAACAACAGCCACTTCTCACCTAGGTTGTTTTAATGCACCTGAGCAAAGATGAACTACATGTTTGCAGAAAATGGCATTTTTATGATGACAGGTGAACTTGGGGTCAACATGCATACATAATGTAACCTAATGGGTGACCTTAGTGCAGTTCATGACATTAATGTACTATTACATAGTCAATTAATTGGACATGGAGTATAACATAAAGATAATAACCCCCTGATGCATGTTGTGTATTCCTTATCAATAATTCTACTCTATGCTGGCCAGAGAACATTTACTTGCAGTACTTACTTAAGTTTTTTTTATGTTTTTTAAAATTCATTTACCATGCAAAGCACTTCAATATTTTATATGATTAAAAAAATCATTTAATAAATTCTGTAGTTTTAATTACCTATCTGTACTTACATCAAAAACAAAAAATAAATTGACATTCAAACTGAAAAAAAGAGAATCTTAAAACCTTTTGTAGCACAACTTACTGTATATGTACATAAATTGGCATATTCAAATTTTAGCAGAATCACTGTGTATTGAGTTTTTGGCATAGTCATGAATTAGCGCTACACACTAAAACACCATATATTTTATTTATAAATGATTTCTCAGCAGTATTCATGAATTTGTGCATCGTTTGCTGCGCAAAAGCCGCTAAAATATAAAGCCCATTTTTTTAGGTACACATACATTATTGTGCAGGAAGCATATAGCATATGGTGCAGTTCCATGCCAATTTTGGTGATCAATTTCAGGATCAACAAAATAGTACAAGTACAGTGACACCCTGTTATCTTGAACTCAATGGAACCAAGGGAAAAAAAAATTGAGATATCAGAGGATTTGAGATACCAAACAAAAAATGCTTACAAAATAAGTGGTTGGGACCTTCAAATCAGTATGACATATCCATGGTTTTCGAAATATCAGTGTTAGAAATACAGTTAAACTTCGTTATCTCGAACCTGATGGGACCGAGAAAAAACTTCGAGATATCCGAGGATTCGAGATATCAAAGGTAAAATACTTAAAGAAAATGTGATTAGGACTTCCAAATCACTTCGACATATCCATGGTATTCGAGATATCGGAGTTCGAGTTACCGAAGTTCAACTGTATCAAAGTTTAACTGTAAAGTTTGTATAGGTATGTGCTGTCATTGCTGAGCTTAGGAATTTCCTACAGTCAACAGGAATTTCAAATATTTAGAGCTGCTAGGAATAAGTTTACCAAATTTCATATCATTTCACTCCTTAAAGCCTACACTGCATATCTGATACTAGATAAGTATCCATTTCAGAAGCAAGTTACAAATAACCATTTTTCAATAAAATTCAAACTGCATGTTGGACAAATACAGCTCGGAGCTTTCTAATTAAAACACTTGGTATTTTGATATATTACTCTTTCCATTCACTTTTCTCTGTGTAAAAAAATAATTGCTAAATATATTTTGGCTGCTTATTAATAAATAAAAAAAATTTTAAAAACTGGTAGTAACAAGGTTTCTTTTTTTTTTGGTCAAATACAGATATTTTGCTGTTATCATGGTTATCTATCATCTTACTGCTCAATTATATTACGTTTTCTCTCGAAAAATAGGAAGTCCAACTGTAAATTTTCTAATGTTTTTGTATAAAGGTATTTTGTCCAAGTAATCATTTTGTGAACAAAAAAGGGAGGAGGGATACTTAACAAATATTTAAAGTCATTATGAAAGATTAAGTGTAATGTTAAGCATAATAGAAGTTGTACAGTAAAACACATTTATCACAATTATGCTTATCATGAACTTTGTCTTATAAGAGATCTCAAATTGGCTTAGCCTGCTTGTTCAAGCAATTATGTTTTTTTGAACATAATTTATATCAATACGATTGTCTTTGAAAATAAATTTAAAAAGTCATGCAGTGCAGTTTCTTTTTATGAGGAACTGCTGATTGAATAAATACCACATCACTTTAATTGCAGGGAATATGCCTGTCATGCAATTCTGCCACAATTGTGTTTTACTGTAGATGTTTTGTAGGGACAAAGTATTGTGTTACCTCACTGGTCAAGTAGCTGGCTTCAGGCCCATACACATCCCCCATCACCGACGACAAGAGATTGGGGATACCACTGGAAATCGCTGGGCTCTGAAAAAAAAAATCAGGAAATCTTGAAATATTCTTAACTTTTTCCTTCATCAAAAGTGAATAAAAGAGCTGCTGTGAAAACAAAATCAATAATTAATCATGTGAGGTGATTCGTTTTCTTTCAATCATGTCAGATGAAATTTGAATAACGTCCCCATTATGATCTAGAAATCTGCTGCCATTTCCTTTATGGAATTATTGTTTACCAAAATTTCTCAAAAGTTTAATTCAAATTCAAAGTAATAAGACCCTTAGTTCTTTTATATTGTCCTGAAAAAGGTAATAATAAACAGAAGCAGCATGGACTTCATTAAGTTGATTAACACACTGCCATACAAATTCATTTCCATCCAAGTTATTAAATCAACAGATACAACTCTACAGTTCCTTGATATTTTTTCACAGATGTACCTGATTAATCATATTGGTGTTCCAGGCCTCTTGAAAAATTGAAAAAAAAAGATGCAATTCTTTTGACAGTCAAAAATAAGTATAAGCATCAGCAGTACGTGTAATAACCATCATTTAATTACTTTATTAGAAATGGTAATTGTATCAAAAACAGACTTGCTAAAGAATGGGTAGAACCTTATAAGTTGGTAGAACTTGTGTTCATACCATTTGAATACCATTTTTACAGTACATATTCTTACTATCTGCTATTAAAGAATGACCATCAAATCTTGAACCAGTAACAATACAGTCGTTCACTCCATCTCATCATGTAAAACAGCAAAATGTTACAGACTTACTAGGATAAAATTTATAACCTCGATGAAGCCCACTAACTTGGAGTACAATTTTATCCATCTAGAAATATCCACCACATTCCCTTATTCAGACCTTACTTCACACAAATAAGACATCCAACATGAAGAAAACTGACATCTCCAGTTTCGTTTAATTCTCGCAGGCACGGCCCTAGTCCATTCTAGAAGACGTGCCGCTGAGTAAAACAGGCCACCTGTTACAGGTGATATGATGCATTAGAAAAGTTTTATTTTAACAAAGCTACAATTACCATACCAAGATCAATGTATCACAGAGACTTAATGATCATGTTCTACACCTTTACCCCAGGCTATTTACCTAGGTGAAAGATCTACCTACAATCAGGTACTTAACCTGGTCAGATCAACTCAATGCTGTAATGCACCATAACCTAATGGACAGTCCATCAGAGCTCTCAACTGATTGAAACAAATATTCTCCAAGTGTTCTAGATAAGTCCAATCTATGATACCTTTCCTGTCTTAATATTAGCTTAGGGATACAGGTAAATCCATTGAGGGGTGATAAAATATTAAAAGGATCCCTGTGGAGAAACAGATAGAATATGTACCTCAATATCCAACATCGCTATTCATCTAATATTGAAATCACACTAGTCCATTTCAAGCTGATAAAAGTCTCCCCAAAAAGTTCCACGTTTTTTGTTATCCTATAATTGTGTAACTGCTGATTGAGCAAACACAGTCCTACTCTCATGTTAGAAATCCATCCACTGACTGATAGCTCACCTGTGTATTAATGTGCCATCTTAATTATAACACCTGTCATCCTGGTCACATGACCTCCTCAGAATTGGTCATGTGATCCATTTTATGAAGAATAGGAAAAGTTGTTTAAGAAAGTGTTAATAAATTAAAAGAACTTATTTTTAAATTTATACCTTATTATTATTTTGACTATTTTGAATTATAAGTGATGTGTTATTTCAAGAATAGGCTTATTTAAATGGATATAGCTGCTAAAGGAGTCTTAATTCTTGGAAACTTTCTTATCTATAAGTGCAATCTTGTGTAGTAGTAGCAATTTAAACTAACCAGTCTCAATAGTTATAAAGTCTTACTCGGTTCTTTTTATCTTTTTGCTCAAAAGCTATTTTTACAAATTTTCTTCTTCCCTTGAGGGTTTTGATGAGAAGATATGAAGTATTACAGTGCATGATTATTGATGCATAAATCTGCATGTCTTTGTCAATTATCAATCTTCACAATAAAAAAAGGGTGATCCATCAAGTTGAAAATTTGCATTTCTGCAGAAAAAAAAACCTTCAAGTTTTTTCTTTATCTGTAATTTAAATTTGTCCCACTGACCTACTGCTATTTAACATACATTTCTGTATTTCATTAAATTTTAGATCATTGTTATATAGATCAGGTCCCACGATAAATGATATTTGACCATTTTTTGTCAACTTAAAAAATCAAACTAGCAATGAATATGACAAGTAAGTGAGTAATTAGATAAAAGAGCTTTGTCGTGTCGATGCACTTTATTTGTTGTCGGATCTTCATATAGTTCCTTCCTGAACATACTTCTACATTTTGTTTGCAGTGTAAATACCTGTAAAGTCCACCATTCAGACTAGAACTGTGATGTGACATTGAGTGGCACTTTACGACAAAATGACCCCCATCATATCACCTGTCCAGCGTAATGGACACATAAATTACAGACCTTAATTCATCAACCATGTAGCAATTAACATGGCTTAAAATACAGAATACTGTAGTCCTGCACTTTATAGGCAGCATCAATAATTACTATTTATTAATTGATTAAAATGGATTCATTTCTGAATGATCATGAGTTACTGTAAATGTATTATATTTGGCATGTACAATATTTGCAGATGTTGCTTTTTGAACAAGTTAGCATATATCTGATTTGGCGCATTTCTTAACGTTCTTATTTATGAGTATATATGCAAGACATTTAGCATTGCACTTGAATTAGCGGAAGTTTCTTTCCGCCAAAGGCGCTAAAAAGAATACACAGCCAAATGTAATGCGTTAACAGTATTTTCATCTTGTTGGGTTTATTCAGTACCTACTATTAGAGATATAAAGTCTTGGCAAAAAAAATCTCTCTGTAGTCCATGATCTACATTTATCTGATCAAATAAAGTAATATTCGCAGACATTATGATCATTGATCTCTCACTTGCACATCCTCTCTCTCACGACCCCTCCCCCCGCTCTCATGACCTCTGACCCCTCTCTCACCCCTCCCTCTCTTTGCTCTCTCTCTTTCTCTATGTGAGGAATACATTCATGATTGCTGCATCACCATGACAGTTCAACATATTAAAACAAGAATACAAGGGAAAAAGACTAATCATTACTTGATTACACAGTAATTACATTACCAGAGGACTGAATTAACAAATGTTCAAGTAAATCATGAAATAATTAAGTCTTATGGGCCTGCCATGTGTTATTATGTGAATAAGAAAACTTTAAAATAAATCTTAAACTTGATTACAAGCAAAATAGAAAAGAAATTCAATCAGCAGCCAGGATCCACTTTATTCCTTCTCAAGTACTCTTTGTTATAAAATCAATACCCCAGCTAATCACAGAGCTCCCATCAATAACAATATTCAAATTATCTGTCACTTTGATCACAGTTTATGTCTGACAAAATGTTTCTGCTTCAAAAAAATACACTCAGTCAGTCAAAAGAAAGAAAAATCTCCATAGATCACCCCCAACGTGACACAAAAGATGGCATTTCTCTTGTAATACACGGCCATCTTCCCTCACTTCTAGGTAGCTGTACTGATTTTCATAACTTAATACACTACATTTCACATGGTATACTCAAAGATGGTGATCACTGACAGCATTTCTTCATTTCTTAATTGAGAACTCATGAAGAAACAAATGGCATTACACTGTCTAATTGATCAATATCTAATATAATGGAAGAAATTCTTTTGATGATAGCAATTAAGGATGTGACCTTGATCAAATTATCTATGCTAAAAAACAAGATTGTAATTAGGAGCATTGTTTTTGCATGATTTTTCTATGAAATTTGATACATGTCACATAAATCTTGTATCACAAAAAACTAATCCAATGAAATTTTTCATATCAATTGCAGTCCACGATATGCATTGAATAGACTCCACAATTTGCAACTACAGACCACAAATTCTAATGGATTCCACGTAAAAGTCAACAGAAAATTATTCCCAGGAAAATCTAATTAGTGCTTCTAAGGGCATTAATCATTTCCCCTCTATTAGTTTTAATTACCAGATGAATCCTATTGTTGGAGCTGTATAGTATGGAAATATTGATGGCAACAGAAATTTATACATCCATGTTTTAGTGAGCACCAGAGAACATTACATGGAGTCATTAAAGTGATGGAGAAGTGAAGAGAAAGTCATGAAAATATTGAAACAGGTTGTGGAGAACTACTTCATGTACATTCTAGCTGAAATTTAAGTTATCTGTTATTTTTCCCCTCACATTTTTAAAAGATTTTTTTCTCTTGGTGCAAAAGTGGCAAATCATCATAATTTAGTGGACTAATGCATACCTACATTGCAGTACAGTTTCTTTTTAACAGGTCTGGACGATTTCTAAATATGGAAGTCAAGAACGATAACCAAAAGTTGCTATAAATGTACATCAAGTACACGTAATTATTTTTCTGTCCAATCAGACAACAGCATTTTTACACACTCCAAAACATATTTTCAAAGAATAAAAAGAAAACACGTGCTTATGTTTTTTTTTCCTCAAAAAGATTTTTTTAACAAAAAATATGTAGAAGTAAGATGAAAACTTTTGAAGAATAAGGTATTCCCCACATTTTTACCGTGAACAACCTTGACATTTTTATCTCGGTAAAGAAAAAAAAATAATGCACGATAGAATGTAATCGTTTACAGAGGTATAGATCGTACCAGCAAGTTTTATCAAGTTCAATTAAAACATTTACCAGAATATATTATATGATGGTAAATATAATTTTGCTTAGCCGTCCCATTTTCATCGATAATGCTTAAATTCAATGTGATCAACTCACACAAGTGTTTATCGTATGGACTATATACACATATAGTTTTGAATTCACGCGTTTCACGAGCGCCGAATACTTAGCTATGTAGACCTAAATGGGCACAAGGAAAGGCGTATAACGTGGAGGAAAGAGAATCCTGTAATTATACATGAATGCGTTTTATCCCAATATCTTAC